CGGTCCACTCTCCCCAGCAAAGGGGAGCTGTGGGAAGTGGCACTAAAGGTGTCCCTCTTCCCCCCAGCTCCCATTGGCTGGGAATGGCGATCTGCGGCCAATGGGAGCTGCAATTGCCCATGCCTGCAGAGGCGCAGGTAACTATAGCAGCGCCAACCCGCCAGGGGCTAACCCTGGGGAACTGGATCCAGCCCGTGGGCCAGTATTTGCCCATGATTGTCATATGGAAACTCTTCTGAAACTCAGTGTCCCATAGTTTAAATGAGAACTCAGGGGCTGCTCGGAGGTATGATGTGGCTTGGGTTCATTCCAGCCTTTCACACCAGGCACAGCTCCGGATGGATGGGTGGGATCGTCAAAAATGCTCAGTGCTGGCCTAATTCTGTTTCCACTGAAGTCAACAGTAAAACTCCCAGGGTATGTCTACACTACCCCGCTAGTTCGAATTAGGAGGGTAATGTATGCATACCGCACTTGCAAATGAAGCCCGGGATTTGAATTTCCCGGGCTTCATTTGCATAAGCGGGGAGCCGCCTTTTTTAAAACCCCGCTGATTCGAACCCCGTGCCGCGCGGCTACACGGGGCTCGAACTAGGTAGTTCGGACTAGGTGTACTGGTAGTTCGGAATAGGAATCCTAGTCCGAACTACCTAGTTCGAGCCCCGTGTAGCCGCGCTGCACGGGGTTCGGCTCCCCGCTTATGCAAATGAAGCCCGGGAAATTCAAATCCCGGGCTTCATTTGCAAGTGCGGTATTCCTACATTACCCTCCTAGTTCGAACTAGCGGGGTAGTGTAGACATACCCCCATTGTCTTTAATGGGAGCAAAGTTAGGCCAGTCCTGCATGCTTGAGAACATCCCTTGGAAGGCCTGAATATCCAAGCTGAAGAACTATTCCCAGTGAATCCCTCCCCTCCCCCTCATGCACATTTCATACACAGTTTGGTGGTAGCAGCCAACTCTCGCTAAAGCCAATTGGAATGAATCGGCTGGAACCCTCCCTCAGCCTTTGTGAATTAAATCTAATGTCTCTCTGCATTTCTACCACACTCTCCCCAGCAGGGTCTGAAATGTAGCAACTAACATAGTTCTGAATGCAGCATGTTTTGAGGTTTAATTAAAACGGTAGGACAAATTATATGTGATTTCACTTTTTTCTTTGGATCTAAATGATTTGATTTGTGTGCAATTATTTCCATGAGTGTATTAGGGAGCATTTATGGCCTCAGCTGTATTTAATAACTTGCTACCTCCCATGGCTCTGCCTACCCTAATTATTTTGACCTAATTAAAAGAAAAGACCCTATACATAACTAAAAGGCTGGTCGGGGTAGACAGGGATATACAAAAATAAGTGGCATTTTATCGGTGGCATAAATTGCTTATAAACTCCATTCTCCACCCCCAAATGGACTGGAAAAGAAGCACAAAGATACAGGCAGCGACACTTATATAGGTAGATGGAGACATAGCTACAAAGACAAACGAAGGTGTCACAATTGTAATGACTAAAAAAAATAGTATAAAAAATGCGGCATGTTTCAAATCCAGTCTGCGTAGAAAGAAGATAAAGCACCAGAAAGAACCCAGGATCACACCAATAATCTCACAGAAAATGGCCCCCATTTCCATAGAAGCATGGCAACAGAAGCTTTCACTGGCAGTTTTGGGGAGTTTTTAAGGGTGATCTACCTTATAGGCAACTCGAGCAGGGCATTTCTTTCCCAGGCCTAGAGGTGGGGACATGTGTCTCAGCATCTCATACATGTCAGTGTAACTGATGCGCCCACTTGGAATTGAAGGCAGGGGGGAGAAAGAGAGCAAGGGGCAAAAGCAGGAGGACACATCAATCAAACCGGAGCCAAAATAAAAAAGGGGAACAACACGAAAAGGTGAAACAAAACCAGGGCGAGGGAAATGCAGGGACAGAGCAGGGGAGAAAGCAGACAAGAAAAACAGATATCCGGTTAATCAGATTTCTCAGGAAAGAGAAAAAATAAACAAAATAGAGAGGAGGGTAAACGGAAGGATTTCTCCGCTTCCATCCCTTTGGTTGAACACTTGGGTGTCTCCTCCTTATTGCAGAGAAATCCCAGGTTAAACGCTGACACTCTAATCCCTGCGGCAGCAGTACGGAATGATTGATGTCTAAGTCAATGGACGTGGAAAGGGATGGGGGAGAAGGGGGAGAGGGATTTTTGAGGCAGGGGTTGCTTTTTCGGGGGGTTGCTTGTTTTTCAAATCAAAAAAGGGTTGTATTCACCATGCCAGGGAGAGCTGGTAGGCAGAGTTATGGGACAGAGATGAGACATAGAAAATTCTTTTGTGGATAAAAAGTTTTGCTTCCAGTTTAGATTGAAGACTAAAAGAGAAAGAAGATCCTTTTTTCCCCATGTGGACTAAGATTGCCCTGACTCCAAGAAAAAAAATGAATTTCTGCAGCACCCTGACCAATCAAGCCATACTTCTCTAACAACTCAGAATTAGATCTGACAAGGGCAGCCACACATAATCCCGCCTACCTTCATCTGCGAGCGGGGACCGTGGAGAGGATGCATTATTTTATCCTCAGGGGCCATTCCATTGTGTAACCATCTGGCTTCATTCAAGGGTATGCTGGCCAGCCTGGGAGTTTGGGAGCAGTTGGCAGATCTAGGAAGTACAGGGGCTCAACAGAAGCCTCACAACTCTGCTTCCATTGTTGATGAGTTTTGTTACAGCCGGAGTCAAATTAAATCATGCATTGGGAAGAAGGGTCGGCAGAGCCTAAAAGCCATCCCTCTCTGGCTTGCTGCCCCTACTGGCTCTGCTATTGATTGTAGTGTCTGGTTTTAAGTGACCAGCTGGTCGTGTGTCATATAACACAGTTTAGTGAGATCCCTTCACACCTCTTTGCACTCAGCTTTGGACTTAACTATCTTGAGTCATTTTGCATCACGTGCAAATTTTGCCACCTCGCTGTTCACCCCTTCTCCAGATCATTTATGAGTGTGTTGTACAGCACAGGTCCCAATATGGACCCTTGGAGGATGCTGTTCTGTACTTCTGTCCACTGTGGAAAATGGCCATTTATTCCTGCCCTTTGGTGTAGTCTACACTACAGACCCATCAACACTCAGGGATCTGAAAAACAGGGAACACCACCACTCAGGCTGTGTCTAGACTACAAAGATCTATCGGAAAAAGATACGCACATTGCCTGGAAAAGCTCGGCAGTCTAGACATGCCCTCAGGGATCTGAAAAACCCACACCCCAGAGCAACATATCTATACTGACCAATCCCACCCATGTAGACAGTGGTTCTGTTGGCAGGAGAGCTTCTCCCTGCAATGTAGCTACCACCTCTCTGGGAGAAAGATGAATTATGTGAATGAAAGAGCTCTCTCCTGTTGGAGTAGACTGTCTTCATTAAAACACAACAGCAGAACAGCTGCACCAATGCAGCATTTTAAGTGTAAACTTGTCCTCCCCCCAGCCCTTTTAACCAGTTACTGATCCAGAAGAAGATCTTCTCTCTTATCTTATTTGGTTAAGGGCCTTTGTTGAGGGACCTCGTTGGACAAGGGGCTTGCTTTCTGAAAGATCAAGTACACTGTACCAGCCGCATCTTCTTTGTCCACATGCTTGCTTGGCCCCACAAAGAATTCTAGTAGATTGTTGAAACAGGATTTCCCTTTGCTAAAGACATGATAATTTTGTTCTTTACTATTGTTTCAATCATTTTGCCTGGTACTGAAGTTAGGCGTGCTAGCCTTTACTTGCCAGGATCACCTCTGGAGCTTTTTTAAAAAATTGGCACGACACTAGCTATCCTACAGCCACCTGATAGAGAGACTGATTTAAATGATACATACAACAGTTAGTAGTTCTGCAATTTCATATTTGAGTTCCCCCAGAACTCTTGGTTGAATGCCGTCTGATCCTAGTTACACATTACTGTTTATTAGTATGTTCCAAGATCTCCTCTACTGACTCTCAGTCTGCGACTGTTCCTCCAGATTTGTCACCTGCAAAGAAGAGCTCGAATGTGGGGATCTCCCCCAGATTCACAGCAGTGATGACCAATGCAAAGAATTCATTTCGTTTCTCAGTAACGAGCTTATCTCATTGATTGCTTCTTTAGCACTTTGATCATCCAGTGGCCGCACTGTTTGCCAAGCTTCCTGCTTCTGATGCACTTAAAAATATATTGGCTATTATATTTTGTGCTTTTAGCTATTTGTTTTTCAGATTCTTTCTCTTTTTTGCCTTTTTGATTCTGTTCTTTAGCCATGATGGTTCTTCTTAGGTCCTATTACTATTTGGGGTGGGGTGGTTACATATTTAGTTTGGGGCTCTGTTATGGTATTTTAAAAAAAAACATGCATCTGATGAAGTGGGTCTTTGCCCACGAAAGCTTATGCTCCGACACTTCAGTTAGTCTATAAGGTGCCACAGGACTCCTCGCTGCTTTTGCAGATTCAGACTAACACGGCTACCCCTCTGGTATTTTTTAAAACTCTCCATGCACTTTACAGCTATTTCCTCCCAATCAAGACGTTACATTCGATTGCAGTATGGGTGCTGCTATTGAGCAGTTCAGCTGTATTCACCTCTTGGACCAGAATCAAGAACTGCGTCTCTTCTGTTGGGTTCCAGGAGAAGCTGCTCCACCTGTCTCAAAACATGCCTGCATGCCTTCCTAAGGTGACCCGTACTCGGTCAATAAGAGGCTAGTTGAAATGCCCCCATTATTATTGTGTTTTTGGTCTTTATAGCTTCTCTAATCTCCCTGCTCAGCTCACAGTCACCATTGTCTTCCTGGTCAGATGGCCAATGTTGTGTTCTTACTGTTCTACTGTCACTGCTAAGCACGGCATTTCTAGCCAGAGATTCCTTGGTACAGTTTGAGTCATTTAAGATTTTTACTTTATTTGACTTGCTGCTTTCTTTCAGAGCCAGAGTCACTCCCCCACCGGTGCCCCCCACTCTGTCCTTATATATACTGTCCGCTGATTGCCCTCACTCCATCAAGCACGGGCAGCACCTTTTCTAACAATATCCCCATTTAATGCCAGGCACTCGCATTTACCCACCTTTGCACGCAGACTTTTAGCATCTGTACTTATGCCGTAGTACATTCTGTCAATATTTAGTTGCTTCCCTTCATGTATTATATTTAAACTGAATTATTTTATGCTTCACTAGGTTCTACCTGTACTTTACCAACTTCTTCCCTATCATCTTTTTTATGCTATTGAGTTCCTCCTTCAATAAATTCATCCCTAAACGTGATCTCCACTGGAACCGTATGCTCCTCTGCATGTGTCAGCTTTCCTTCAGCTCTTAGTTTAAAACTTTTTTAATATTCCATGCTAACTGTCTGGGTCTCTATTAGTTTAGGTGGAGCTTATCCTTCCTGTATAGGCTCTTCTTATCCTCAAAAGTCCTTAAGAAACCTAAAACCTTCCTCCCCTTACATCATCATATCATCCAGACATTATAATACTTTGCAAGTCCACTACACTGTCATCTGAGAACCTCAAAGAGATCCGTGTTCTTCCTAAAAGCATCCTGGGGCTACTGCTTGACAGAGAAAGCATGTTCAGCCTTGCATCCTTTCCTAATCCTACGTAAGCATTCCCACCCTGCTGCATCATTAATTGGGCCCTTGAATTAATGTCCTTTCAACTGAGGAAAGAGACAGGATCAAAGGTTAGTCACTAAACTGAAGGCACAACATCAGCTAAAAATTAAAAATAAAATGGCCCCATGCCACTAGATTTTCTCGTCAGCATTCCACAGGAATATTATTATGTGGTGTGTCTCTCTCTCATATATATTTGGAGTATTGCCCCTTCCTCACCCCTTCCCATCTAGACCACGAGGGATGGAAGCTTTTGAGTTCACTGTCTCATAAGGCTGCCTTTCTCCAGCCAGTTGGGGTGTAGGAGTAGATGACTGATGCATCATGGGATAAGGGGGCAATCAATCATTCCTTTTCAAGCAACGGGTTAGTCACGTTCCAGGTTCGTTTCAGTCTTGTGTGCATTTGCCGTTTGGATAAAAAAGGGGTAAAAAGAAAAAAGAAAGAAAACCAAAGAAGGAAAGGCTGGGCAGACCCCTGAAATTCCAAACCTTGTAAGCCACCCTATGAGGGCACTTCTTTCCTAAGCCAAGGGGCGGAGCAATAACACGTAACAAATTGTACATATCCTTATAATGAATCCGGCAACTGGAAAGAAAACATCACAAGTTATAACAGCATAGACAAGGAGGGAGGCCTTCTTCCCCAAGAACACTCCCCTGCAGAACATAGCAAATGGGAGAGGTGGGGAAGGAAAACATTCGAGAAGCAAGGTTAGTTCGACAAGGATTGGATTCTCCAGGAGGTAGACACCTTCATTCAGATCGAGAGAGGGAGAACTTCCACTTGCTCTACAAAAGCCATAGCATAAAGTAGCCTGATTGTTTTAATTACTACCTGAATAACAGTGCAATAGAAAAGATATTTTAATCACTGCACTTAATTATGACAGTTACTAATGCTCTAGTTCTTTAATGTGTTTGAAATATAAGAACATAAAAAATTAAGTCAGGCCAGTAGAGCATTATCAGACTGATTAAGACTGAAAAATTCAGATCCCATTAGTAACAACTGAAATAAGCCTATCACCATAGTTGTTTTTATGGTTAATTCTATTATTTGAAAATGTTTTCAGTTAATCTAGCAGTTGGATTAAGAGATGTCATGGATTAATTTTATCTCTAATTAAAATTAGTCAAATCATCTAAAAAAAATAGCAGCACTGAAACTCAAGGCAACCTGCAAAGGAAAGCAAACTGGGACTATAAACTCCTCCCTCTCGTTTTTTAGCTTCTTTATGATACATAAGAAAGGCCATAAAGATTGTTTTCCCCCAATATTTTCACATTGTTTGTTTGTTTTTTCATTAGAAATTCAGAGCTGCTTTATCCAAAGCTTTTGCAGAGGTATAATTGCATCAATTTAGAACACTATAAAGTTCAATTGGTGTAACCCACTACTATGAAAACAGTTAAACTGTGGCATGTTGATATAATAGTGGCATTTCCTTTCAGTGAATTTAGTGAAATTTCTAAATCAGTATTGTTAAACCACTGCAAAAATGGTGTGTAGACAAGGTCTGAAATATATCTTCCCTGAGAAACTCTGTGGATGACTGGAGAGCTAGCATGTTTATGATGTGAGAAACACCACTGCAGTGAATTATGATTAATTCACAGTGGATTTGATTCTTATTTAGGCTATTTAAATCTCTTTGTTTTTTGTTTGCTTTTGTTAACACCTATTTATCTCAGACATGTGAGAGAACCTCTCCTTATTAGGGATTCCACAACCCTGCTCCTGCCATTAAGAGGTAAAAACATTTACAGTGCACACTTCTGGTTCTCTAAGGAGGCCTCTGAAAAAACATTCCTAATATTTCCAAAGAAAACATATAGAAAAGACTCTTAAAAAGAAAAATACAGCAACTTTCAGGCCTTCTTTATACGTCTTAAAGAAACAAAAAAGGGCATGAATTCAATTTTATTTTATTTTGCAGACCATCTTGAAGTTCAATGCTATTATTTTTTAAAGGGACTAAAAATGGCTGATAGTTAAAAGTGAGATTGCCATTTATCAGTTTCAATTTGTGTGTGATAGATTTCCCCCAAAAGCAGACTGGTAGATTTCATAGCTCTCTCTCTCTCTTTCTCTCTCTCTCTCTTTCTCTGATGTATGGTGTATCTACCCTCCTTTAACCGATCAGCATTACCACATTTACATTTTATTTAGCAAAGACTTTTTCAAAACTATAGCAATATTTTTCTGTTTTTGACCTTTTTCTCAACATTTCCCCACAGGAAAGTTTAAAGACATAATAACCAAGAGAAAGGTGGTGACACTGAAGATAATATTTTAAAGATATAAAATATTACTAAATATTGCTATACACAAATAATATTTGCTTTTTGCACTCACACATCACCTTCCATATCAGAGTCTCAAATAGCTTTCAAAGATGGATATGACATTATGTCCATTTTATTGATGGGCAAAGTGAAGCATAACGACGCTAAGTGGCATGACAAAGGTCACAAAGTAAATCAGTGACAGAAGCAGGAATAATGATCCAGTTTGCCTGAATCTAGATCATACTGCCATATGATCCTTTTCCATGCAAAGTATTATTATTATTATTATTATTATTCATGACATGCAAATACCCATATTATGAGGAAAGGGTCTTATCTCAGAAAGTGTAAATCAGTGATATTTTAGACCTCAAACCTGCACACACCTAAGAGTGCTTTGTTGATGTGTGTGACTTCAGTGGAAATACCTGCATGTGTAAAATTAAGCACGGACAGGTTTTTGCAGGCTCAAAGCTTGATTCCTGTTTGATTTACACAGTTGCACATCGGGAGTAACTCCAGTGAAGTGAATGGAGTCATACCAGTGGAAAACTGGAATAAATTAGAGAATCATACTCCCTGATCTTCCCGTGGGACCTAGTGTGCACTAGTGATTTTTTTAAAAATAAGTGTCATTTTAAACCAACACTTTAGCCTTTCTCTTTGGAATCCAAAGAGGGAGGAAATCAGACAGAAAACACCCTCATTTTGACTCCACTGGTCCGAGCATCTGAATCTGTGGAGAAGCACATTTGTGTTTTTTCTTCTTCCTTGTATACAGGTAATTTACATAATTGATGATATTGGGAATTGAGGTTATTTGTTAAAGGGAGAATGGACATTCCCAAATTTTCAGCCTCCCTGAGTTTCCCATCAGTGCTAAGAAAGAGGAGGGATTTGCAAATAAACATAACCACCAATTACTGATTAAATATTCACTAAGGAATGGTATTAGAAACCTGCACTAACCAAAATCTAGCTATACTGGTACAAATGCCTGTGGATGCACTTGATGGTATAAATTATGTTTAAACAGATTTACCTACTGTTCTAAAGTTATTACGTTAAATCAAACTGGTTGGCTGTGTCTAGACTGGCAAGTTTTTCCGCAAAAGCTGGCAAAAAAAACTTGCTGGCAAAAAAAATTTGCCAGCTGTCTACATTTGCACAAATGATTTGCGCAAAAGGGCCAGCGTAGACAGCTCAGATTTGTTTTCCGCAAAAAAGCCCCGATCGCGAAAATGGCGATCGGGGCTTTTTTGCGCAAAAGAGCGTCTAGATTGTCCACAGACGCTTTTCCGCAAAAAGTGTCCGTGCCAATCTAGACGCTCTTTTCCGCAAATGCTTTTAACAGAAAACTTTTCAGTTAAAAGCATTTGCAGAAAATCATGCCAGTCTAGACGTTGCCGTTAAGTTTGATTTAAACCATCTTAAGCACATTTTTATTAAGGGGTTGAAGTTTTTGTCTATAAACATTTTTCCTATATCTTCAGCTCTGCGTGCAGCGGAACAAAATCTGGGTGAAAAGCACAAAGGGGCTGAAGGCAGCCTTAGTTTTGTCGATGTGTTGTAGATGCGCAGGTCTGAAGCCTTCCCACAAGAAAGCAGTATTTTGTAGGAAACACATTGCATGGTGGCTCTGTGGGGAGGACTGAGGATAAGAAGGGGGTGAAAGCTTGTAAAAAATTGTCCCTCATATAACATTTCCAAAAGCTGTAAAACATCAAGGAAATGGTTCTGACTACACCCTGAGCTCATAAAACTTTCAGATTTGTAGGCTTAGTCTACCAGGGGCCATTGATCTAAATGATGCAACTTCAGCTATGTTTACAACATAGCTGAAGTTGATGGACTTAGATCTACTTATCATGCTGTCTTCAGTGCAGTAAATCCACGCCTGCGCTTCTCATTTGGTGGAGTACCAGAGTCAATGAGAGGTCACTCAATGGTCAATTTATCACCTCTATAATAAAGACGATAAATCGACTTCTGATGGATCCCGCCTATCTGGCAGATAGTGTAGACAAGCCCACGGATAGCTCTTAGCCCATTTAAAGCCGGCATTGTCAGAAAGGTGGCACTTAACAGAACGACCTTCTCCCCTACATTTGTCACAATATATTTTCATGCAAACTTTGCTCCAAGCCTGGTAACAAGGCAACCTTGTGTGAGTCGACCCCCACATCAACTATACCCTAAAATTTCTTCTATCCTGGCTCTTGGTCTGTGGCAACACACTCTCCTTCTCCTCTTAGTGCAGTGTTTTCTGTCATGACGGATCGCAACCTGTACCTAGGTTCCTCCATTGTTGTATTTGGATTTAAAAAAGAAAAATCCTAGGCAGCTTTCATTCCAACCCTCACTTTCTGGCTGGAGAAAAACACCCATTCCCTTAACAAACCCAAGGGTGTTTTATTGGAGATTCACCAGGAATTGAAAGGCTCAGAGATATTAAGCTTATTGTTTTTGTTTCCTCTTTATTGCTTTACATGTCTCAGCTTTCAACCTCCTGTCCAAATCCCAGCATATTCTTAAAAGGATCAAAGATCTCCTCTGTAACGTGATGCCATTCAATGGATGTTTCAGGATCAAACCCTAATTTTAGATGGCAATTTTCTATTCCAGTTGTAGGTTTAATCAAGCCAATGCTCTGATAACAAATATTCAGTCCTTCCCGCACTGCCTTGCAGCCTGTGTAGTCCTGTACACCTGTACAGAGTGGATGCAAAAAGCTACCAGGAGTGAGGAGAATTATGATTTGGTAGCATTTTACACTCATATTGCACAGCTGAAAGTGATGGTGCAACATGCAAAGTAGTGGCAAATCAGGGCCACACTTTTTAGGGAGGGGAATGGCACCTTGAAAATGTGAAAAGAAAGCTTCCTTGGTTTTCTATGGTCTCAAAACAAATTCATGCTGCATTTTATTGCTTTAAATTATTCAGGCAATTCTTGTCCATCAAAAAACATAACCTTTGTGTTTCTGGACCACTTAATTTCAAGTGCTAACTAACATGCTAACATGGTGAGAGAATCCACTCCTCCCTCCCCCCCACTTCACACTGGGAAATGAAAACCAAAAGTGTTTAGTTGTGTTTCCAGAATTAACAAATGCTTTTTCTGCATAACCACGGAGCGAGGGTCAGGCGCTCTGTTTGCATCAGACCCATTCTTTTTCTGGCAGTGTTAAGGGTTTGAGTTTTCTCTCTTTTGTGGTTCCCATGTCAGCTAAAAGGAAATTCCCCTGTAATTACATCAGGGTTGTTAATCTCAAGTGCACAGTGAATCTGGGTTGCAATGTTCACCTCCCCAGCTCTGGATTTTGTTTTTCCTGTAGACTTGTAGCCACATCAAAACCAGTATATGTGCTATGTCCGTATTGTCTATATACATACCAGGCAGCTGGGTCGTATTCAGCCCAGACCCGAATGAACTCATCAAGGTGATGGGGTCCTAGGATGGAAGAGTCTCGTGTCAGGTACTCAAAGTTGTCCATGATTACAGCTACAAACAGGTTCAACATCTGCATGAGGGAAAAGGATATTGGGGTGGGGGAGGAAAGAAACACACTTGCCTTTTACCTCGTGGATTCGATTTAAGGTATGTAACTGAAGGTGGTGGAAGAATGAAGCTGCAAGTAGAGAACACATGTATTTGCCTAGCAGGAAGTGTGGTTTCTCCTCATCCCTAGGGTTGTTTTGAGGTCCCACAATTTTTGATCCACAGATAGCATGGCATGCAGCCACTATGCACCCTTCAGGCCAGGAAGAACTGAAGAAAACCTCCTTTTGGGGGCCTGTAGCCATAGCTCCTCACACGTTGGCAATAGCATGGTAACAGGAGACCTCCCACCCCTGACTCCAGAGGCTCAGTCACTGCAGGAGTGGAGCACGCTGCAGGCAGATGGTGTGGCAAGGAAGAAGAGGAAGCATCTCTCTCAGATCTGCCCTCTTTCCACCAATATCCAGCAGCACAGTGTCCTCCACTGCACAATTCGGCACAGCCCCACTCTAAAGCATCCACCAATATGCAGCAGCACAGTGTCCTCCACTGCACAATTCGGCACAGCCCCACTCTAAAGCATCCCTCTCTGCATCTGTATCCCCAGACAGCAGCTCCTGCCCCCGTCCTCGTTCCCCCACTACCAGCATCATGCCACACAGAATGTCTGTCCATGCCCAGAAGCATCCACCTTCCTCTCCAGAATCCACAAACCTACCCCATCAACCTTCACATCAGACCTCTTGCCCCAAGATAGCCCCGGGCTCTTGACAGGATGCCAGAGAGATGGAGGATATGACTGCAAAGGATTGTGGGACTGGAACTCACACAACGGATTGTTTTGAGGTTCCTGAGAAGTCCATAGGGTTACCATATTTGAACTTTCAAAAAAGAGGCCATTCCTGAGAAGGAGTGTATCTATATCAGTATCTACCAACTCACGTTGTAGTAATATGTTATATATACTATATAATATATGAATACAATATGTAGTATATATACACATTAATACAACATGGCTATGTCTAGATTGGCCAGTTTTTCCGGAAAATCAGCCACTTTTCCGGAAAAAGTTGCCAGCTGTCTACACTGGCCGCTTGAATTTCCACAAAAGCACTGACTTCCTACTGTAAGAAATCAGTGCTTCTTGAGGAAATACTATTCTGCTCCCATTCAGGCAAAAGTCCCAGTGTAGAGAGCTCAGATTTGTTTTCCGCAAAAAAGCCCCGATCGCGAAAATGGCGATCAGGGCTTTTTTTGCGCAAAAGCGCGTCTAGATTGGCACGGACGCTTTTCCACAAAAAGTGCTTTTGTGGAAAAGCGTCCGTGCCAATCTAGACGCTCTGTTCCAAAAATGCTTTTAACGGAAAACTTTTCCGTTAAAAGCATTTCCGGAAAATCATGCCAGTCTAGACTCAGCCCATGAGTTGGTAGATACTGATACACTCCCTCTCAGGAGTTCAAATATGGTATACCTACGAGTGGTGAAACTTTGAGAACTCCTGGTTTAACAGTTTGTTTTGAGTGTCAAGAAATCCCATTATGATATGCTGGCTTAGCTTTTTCTTCCTGGCCTCAGAGCCAGGGTCAGGAGCGCCATTTGGTCTATTCTTTGCTGGTGGCAATAAAGTTGTTTTAGGATGATCAGCAGCCCATATAAAAAGAGCTGCTGACCTATGTCCATTTCCGGGAAGTCCAATCTGTCATGGGGTCAATGGCTCTTCAGGAGAACTAGGGCCTACTTGTCTCTTGACAACCTTGCAGGCTACACTTAGCAGCAGACAGGTTTTGCCCCTTTCGCTAATTAACAATGAAGCAGCTGAGCTAGAAGGAGGCTGCTAGAAGAGTGTGAAGGGCGACAGGTGGTGAGCATGCTACCTTATGCTCTCTTTATGATACCCTCCTCAGAAAGACAAGGACTGAATGGACCAAGGAGAGTGAAGTTCCTTCTCATTGCCTAAAGACAGACCCCGTGCAGCAGAATGGAAGTGTGCTCGCAAACACTGAGACAGACACTGCTGCCCATTCTTCTTGCTGCAGTGGAGTTGGTTATCCTGGGCTGCTAATCCAGCCCCTTTTGCCCGTGTGAAATGTCAGAACATATTTATTAGTGTAACAGGAAACGTCTCTCTCCGTTACTGAGGCACTTAGGCAGCGTGCTACAATCCAGCGTGATTCATGACGGAGGCAGTGTGACTCACGCTCTCTCTGGAGAAACGCTGTTTCCTTATTCCTAATGCCGGCGGAAAGAGGCCCAGGTTCACCAGTCAACCAGCCCATCATTCAGATGTATGCAGCTACTCTCCTGAGAGCATTTCCCACTGCTCCTCGGATCAGAGCAAATCAAGACAAAGCAGTTCAGACGAGTGGGTCTCGAACCTGGATGTCCTGTGTTAGGATCTCAGGAATGAGAATCCTCCAAGCGAAGAGGACGAGAGGCACAGCATGCAAAAGGCCTCGGCTGGAAATGGCAAGATCCTAATACACAGGTAGGCAAATGGGCCTGAGAAAAAAGGGTCCAACCTATCTCTTATTAAAGTCAATGGGAAACCTCACGTTGAGATACGCAGATGTGGGTGCTGCTTCGTGGCATGACATCGTGCACAAGGAAATAGCGCAGCGGAGCCGGTTGCAAGCTCTCTGCTTGGAATCGATGAAATGACACAATATTTAGCTGTCTCCAGATCAGCAGCATCTGCAAGTCATTACAATGAAACCAGGCAATTGCATCTGGGATTGGAGTTTGTGCTGCTTAAAAGAACCCTGCATCCTTCCGGCCTCATGTGGAAGAGGGGGTGGATCTTTGATCGGGGGATCGTGTGTAGGATGTGCTGTTGCTGTTACTCATGACCTGATAATTGAGACACCCCGAATCCCAAGTGCCACAGAAATATGCCTTATGAATGCTAATTAATCCCCCTGTAGAATTTCCTAACAATTTACATAACCCCATTTTATAGGCCAGGGAACTGAGGCACAGAAAAGCAAATTGACTTAGTTACCTAGTAAAGCGGAGAACGGAAAAAACAGTTACTCACCTTCTCATAATTGTTGTTCTTTGAGAGGTGTTGTTCAGATCCGTTCCAGTCAGGTGTGTGTGCGTGCGCATGCACCGTAGCCAGATTTTTCTCTAGCAGCTACCCTGGGCTCACCCTGGAATCACGTATGCATGGTACCCAATACAAAGCTCTGATGACCCACCCCGTCTTCTGTTGCTTCTTGCTGGTTACTCTGACAGAGAGGTGGGAGACTGGTTGTTGGCACAGACATGAACAACACGTCTTGAACAACAACAGTTATGGGAAGGTGAGTAACTGGTTTTCCTTCTTCGAGTGCTTGTTCATGTGCACAAGGTCACAAGGTGACTCACTCACCAAAGTTCGGGCACAGGGTCAGAGTCTTGCACTGCTCAGCTGAATGCTGCGTCATCCTGAGCCTGATGGGTGATCGCATAGTGCGCGGCCAAGGTGCGGCTGGAGGACCAGGCCAATGCTCTACAGATTTCTTGAGTAGAGATGTGAGCCACAAATGCTGCAGACAAGGCCTGTGTTCTGGTGGAGTGTGCAGTGAAGGGGGAGAGGTGCAGATATTCCTCCCATAACATAAGAACTAGGGCTCACCAAGTGAAATTAATAGTTTGCTTTAAACCAAAGAAAGTTTTTCTTCATGTAACATAGTCAATCTGTGGAACTCCTTGCCAGAGGATGTTGTGAAGGCCAGGACTTTAACAGGGTTCAAAAAAGAACTACACAAATCCATGGAGGTTAGGTCCATCAATATTTATTAGCCAGGATGGGTAGGAATGGTCTCCTTAGCCTGTTTTTCAGAGACTAGAAAGAGATGACAGGAAGAGGGATCACTTGATTGCCTGTCCCATTTATTCCCTCTGGGGCATCTGTCATTGGCCACTGTTGGCAGACAGGATACTGGGCTATATGAACCTTTGGTCTGACCTAGTATGGCTGTTCTTATGTTCTTAAGGTTGTAACAGTCCCGATTTATTGTGGTAGAATGGCAGGAGGAAAATATCCTGGTTAATATGGAAATGTGACACCACCTTTGGGAGGAAAGCGGGGGTGGGAAGTTGGAGCTGTACTTTATCTTTATAGAAAACTGTATAGGGGGTCTCCGATGATCGGGCCCTGAGCTCAGATAGCTTTCTGGCCAAAATTATTGGTGGTGGAGCTGAGGGAGTCAGTCAAGGTGGTAGAATGGCAGGAGGAAAATATCCTGGTTAATATGGAAATGTGACACCACCTTTGGGAGGAAAGCGGGGGTGGGAAGTTGGAGCTGTACTTTATCTTTATAGAAAACTGTATAGGGGGTCTCCGATGATCGGGCCCTGAGCTCAGATAGCTTTCTGGCCAAAATTATTGGTGGTGGAGCTGAGGGAGTCAGTCAAGACCTTTTAAGAATCATCTGACCTGGGGTTCACAAACAGAAAGAGGCCCTGTGCACCAGGAGGATTGCCGATAGACCAGTGAGATGAACCCATATTGACGAGCCTGCTAATCCTTGTTGCTTTCAATGGACAAGGTAGTCCAAAATAAGTGGCAGTGGGGTGAGTGTCGGAGACAAGGTGTGTTGCACTGACTACTTGGCTAGGTAGGTGGCTCTCATGGCAGGTTTCCTACTGCCCAGGAGGAATTGTCTGATCCGGTCGGAACATGAGAGCTATGTTGCATTCAGCCATGGAGCTTCCACGCCATGAGGTCGAGCGACTTGCACTTTGGGTGTTGGAGTCTTGGGTCGGAGTCTTGGGAAGAGTGGGAAAGTAACTGGGGTCTCCACTGACATGACGAGAAGGGTTGTGTTGGTGGGATGGATGTGACTAACACCCCTGAGGCTGAGTGAGAGCCTGGCTCCTCCCCTGGGCTTGGTGGAAGGCCCACAGGGTCCAGAAGAGCCTTTGGTTTGGGTTCTGTCTAGGAAGAGGCTCTTCTGCCGCTGTTCTCATTCCTTCAGTGTCCTTGGTCGGAATTCCTGACAGATCTTAGAGAGCTGTTTGGTGATCTTCTTCCAGACACCTCAAGCAGGATGTGTGGGGATCACTGATTGGCATGCAGCTCACGTAGTACTTGCACGGTTAAAACCTGGAGACCACAGCATGTTCCATGGGCAGTAGGGAGAAAATGGGGGAAAGCCCACGACTGAAACTTATAACTAACCAACTCATTATTTAACAACTATAAAATACAAAAACTACATCAAGAACTATGTAACTGCTGAGCAACTTACTGTCTTGGGTGGTAAAAAGGAACAGAGGAGGGGATGGACTGAAAGGGCTCTATATTGGGCACCATGAAGGAGAGACTCCTGGGGATGCCCAGACAGACTCTAGGGGTAGCTTCTGGTCCGCACTAGTGGACATTTAAAAATGGCGGCGCCCGGCTTAATGCAAATGAAGCCCGGGAAATTCAAATCCTGGGCTTCATTTGCAACTCCGGTTGCCTACATTACCACCCTAGTTCGAACTAGGGTGGTAGTGTAGACATACCCTATAGGATAAACTTTAAAAACAACAAATAGTCTGGTAGCACTTTAAAGACTAACAAAACATGTAGATAGTATCATGAGCTTTCGTGGGCACAGCCTACTTCTGGTCATCTGAAGAAGTGGTTTGTACCCACGAAAGCTCATGATACTATCTACATGTTTTGTTAGTCTTTAAAGTGCTACCAGACCATTTGTTGTTTTTTAAGTTTATCTATCGGCAGCTGGTAGGGAAAAACCTTATTGCTACTGTGCACCTACGTGCACACACACCTGTTTGGAATGTACGTGAACTAACACTTGGAGAAGAATCCAAGTACCCGCATTCTCAGACCGATGCGACAATCTACTGGAATTCTTTCAGGATGTCAACATGTATGTGGACAAGAAGGATCCAGTGATACAGTGTACCTGGACTTCTAGAAAGCTTTTGATAAGGTCCCTCAGACCCTCAGTAAAGATTCTTAAGCAACATTGGCAGACAAAGGATAAGAGGGAAGGTCCTCTTATGGATTTGTAAGCTAGTTCGAACTAGGGTGGTAGTGTAGACATACCCTATAGGATAAACTTTAAAAACAACAAATAGTCTGGTAGCACTTTAAAGACTAACAAAACATGTAGATAGTATCATGAGCTTTCGTGGGCACAGCCTACTTCTGGTCATCTGAAGAAGTGGTTTGTACCCACGAAGATGATTAAATTCAAAGCTGAGTGTGAACCATAACAAAGGGATCTCATCAAACTGAGTGAATGGGCAACAAAATGGCAGATGAAATTCAGTGTGAAGCGCAAAGTAATACACATTCCAAAACATTCCCAACTATATATACAAATTATGGCCTCTAAATTATCTGTTACAGCTTAAAGAGATCTTGGTGTCAATGTGTTCTCTGCTCAGCGTGTGATGGCTGTCAAAATGTGAAGAGAATGTTAGGAACCATTAGGAAAGGGATAATAAACAGAAAACATTCTTGTGTCACTATATAAATGCTTGCTTTGCCCACCCCTTGAATAGTGCACGCCATTCTGGTTGCCCCATCTCAAAAAGATATGCTGGAATTGGAAAAGGTGCTGGGAAGGGTAACGAAAAGGAGGAGGGGTATTGAACAGTTTCCGTGTGAGGAGAGATTTAAAAGACGGGGACTATAGCTCTGCAGCTGTAGATGTTGATATCCATGGACCAATTTTGCAGATTGCGGATCGGATGTGGATACACTATAGCTCTGCAGCTGTAGATGTTGATATCCATTGACCATTTTTGCAGATTGCGGATCGGACGTGGATATACATTTTGTATCCTTGCCAGGCTCTAAGTTTGACTTTGGCTCTTAAATCACTTGGACACTTTTAAAAATATTACTGATGGACTATATTTTCTCAGGAATCCCCTCTGTACATTAGGCACAATGACACTTCCTATTCCCTCCTCACCCTCAGAGACAACTGCCAGGCCACATCTCCACTTCCCACGCTGGAGATCAATCTTCTGGTGTTTGATTTAGTGAGTCCACGGACTACACTAGGGCACCTGAAACCACCAGGATCATTTCTGCTGAAGTTACTTGGTTCATTTTGTGGAACAGAAGCTAGTACATCTGGCTAGTATATACACCTGGCTGTGTTCTCTGTACCCATTAGCTACCCAGCAGGATGTTCCATTCATAACAATTGCAGTCCCAAAGTTCTCACAACCGTGACAGTTTATCTGAGTTTGAGGCTTGATCCCAAGAAGGCGCAAGAATCCATCTGTCTTTTGACTTTCAGTCAGGCTCCAGGTGGTAAGTATCTGATCACTCCCTTTCGGACCTAAGAAAGTGATTCTCTTCCAATCAGTTACATCTCCCCCAACCTCAGAGTAGGAACAGGGGCAGGACCTTTCTCCTCTCCTCTTTCTGCACTGCCCAGGAGAGATGGCTGGCCACAGGAGGTTGCACTGCCAGAGTGATGATACAGCAAGTTGTTCTTGAGAGGTTGTTCTCCCATGAGAGTGGTGCTGTTCTGTGTAGTCCTCAAGGCAAGGCTGGGTCTAGAGAGGCTTATCTGACTGCTCCAGAGGAGCTTTTGCAGTTGCTCTAATTTTTAGTTGCACTTTATATCACAGGGTGCAAACTAAACAAGGAAAATGATGCCAACCAGGCATCCTTAAAGACATGGAAGCAATGTTAAAAACCAATACATTACATCATTCCCCCCAATTCCGTGATGTAACCAAACCCAAGACACCATAAATACGCACCCTGCTGACAAGGCCGCTGCTGTATAATGGTTTAATCAGATGTGGGGAACCACATTTTATTGCAAGGTTGTGCCAAATGCTTTCTAAAAAATGAGGAATGATTCTGTCCTGAAACATTGCAGCTGGCTGACTATGCATCATCTGTTTTTGGAGTCCCGCCTCCCCTAACTCATCACCTGGGGCTTCCCCAAGGCCTGCCAATGAACAAAGGGCGTGGTCCCACAGAGTGTTCAGGGGCACTGGTGTAAGGTATAAGATCACGCAGGGTTGTGTATTTCACAGATGTACTGCAGCCTCCAATTTCACTATTACATGAGTGTGAAATCTGGTGCAGTTCGGTGAGGTTTTCTCCCGGGGGCAGGAAGAACTTGAGAAATGTTAATGGGCTTTAAAACAGAAAGTTTCTGATGTTCAGTGAAGGATTACACAAGAAAAGCTTTGAAGAGGTGGAGTTCGAAAGGAATCAGTAAATGGTGCAGTAACTTTTTATCAGCTTCCAGGGTGCTGCTTACATGAGTGTGAAATCTGGTGCAGTTCGGTGAGGTTTTCTCCCGGGGGCAGGAAGAACTTGAGAAATGTTAATGGGCTTTAAAACAGAAAGTTTCTGATGTTCAGTGAAGGATTACACAAGAAAAGCTTTGAAGAGGTGGAGTTCGAAAGGAATCAGTAAATGGTGCAGTAACTTTTTATCAGCTTCCAGGGTGCTGCAAAGCCAGATGGAAAGGAAAGGGCTCCAGCTGGCTAAAGGATCTCCTGGAGACCTATGAGGTGGTAGGTCTCCCTGTAATATATAAATGCCATATGAAGCTGTTTTTCCAAGACTGAACCTTTTGTGGCCAATAGGGATTGGCTGAATTTGTGACGTTCTGATTCACAATAAGCTCTTATACTGTAAGGTAATCTCTTGTCTATGCAGTGGAAAGCAGTGAGGGGAGAACGGATAAACCCTATTTGCCTTCTGGTAAGCTTCTGAGCTGTGATTTCAACTCTTCAGCCTCTGAGTTTGTTCCCTGTGTGCCTGCTTCTCCATTCTTGTAAGCCGGTGGAGTTACATCAGCATAAAATCCAAAGGTGGACTCCACCTCAGGGAACAGATCACCTTTCATGCGTTCAGAAGGGATTTGTAAAACATGGCTAGTGTCAGTCCTGCCCGAGGAACAGTGGCCTGAGTCAGCGACCGCACCTTGGTGTACATCTTTCACCGTTGTGCCTGAGAAGTTCCAAACCACTCTCAGTGACAATGTACCACCCGACATATAAAATATCACACAGACTTGGCGCTTTCCTGCTGCTTTCTGAAAGCACCATAGAGCCAAGTGTGTCCCTACAAGCCTGCCTCTCCCTGTTCTCAATCCCATTCTTCAAAAGCCCGTGTAAAAATGGAGACAAAGCAGATTAATGTTTAATTCCATAAATTAGAACCCTCCCCTCGCCCCCGCTTCCAGGGAGAAAGATAAAAACCTTTGCATTAAACTAATTACTAAATTATCTCTTGGATATTAAAAGGTTTTTAATCACCATGATAATAAATGTTTTTTAATGGAAATGTCTTGGACTGTTGTCTAAATCGTAATTAGGGAGCAGCAGGAAAGAAGGAGGTGGAAAGAAACACCCACTTCATGCTAAGGCCAGGTCTACACTAGAGCGCAAGGTTAAACTAAGGTCTGTTACTCCAGCTACGTGACTAGCGTAGCTGGAGTTGACATACCTTAGATCCAGTTACCACGGTGTCCCCATTGCATGGGGGTCAATGGAAGAAAATTTCCCATCAATTCCCCTTACTCGTCTCATTTCAGTGGAGTACCAGAGTTGATGGACGCGCAATCAGCAGTTGATTTAGTGGGTCTTTACTAGATCTGCTAAATCGACCTCCAGGAGATTGATCCTCACAGTGGTAAGTGTAGACATGGCCTAAGCGTGAAGGGAGCTGGAGGAGTTGGCAAGGGCTAACGTGATGCCTGCTGTTTGATAAGGTGGAAGGGAAGCAGAGACTGGGACTGACTTACCAGAAAGGAACAAAGGAAGATGAAAGAGACGAAGTAAAAATAGGCAAAGTCACTGCCACATTCGTTTTTGGTGAGGCCGGAGAGTTTGTCGCAGGCTCTGTTACTGAGGCAGGAGAGCATGATCTCATGCCAAGCTTCCCCGGTGGCACTCCTGCAGATGGGGGGAAAAGATTCCAACAAAGGAAAAAGGGTGAATTCTTTTGACTGCAAAAGAGTACACCGTGAGAGCTAACCAGAGCCCTCGCAAGCACTTCTCGATGCGTTACGGGAGGTCAAATTAGCCAAAGAACACCCAGTAACAATGTTTCAAAAATTCTATTTTGAATTCCCTTTATCATTTTTGGTAACACACAACCTCCTCTTCCCATGGCCGGCCTGTGTGTGTCTGTACACATTCTGGGAGGCAGTTTGCACTGGCGTTTACTGTATCCGATTCATTTCTCAACTTTGTATGAAAGAAAGACATGAAAAAAGATCTTCCCTCCCCCACCCATGTCACAGGGAAACAAAATCAACCTGACAAGCTCAGACAGGATACACTTAATCTATTTTCAATTTCCAGAAACAGATTAACTGAAGTCAGGCAAGCACAGAGGACCAATGTAATCAAACAAGTTTAACTCTCCCATTCCCCAAACCCAGCAGCTCAGCCTTAATAGCAGCTACAAACCCAATGGAGAGGAACTGAAACAAAAACAGACTCTCCTGTCTCAATCTATCATTTTAAATGGATGCATCAGAATACTGCAGTCTACCACTCTGACACAGATACGCTTTCTTATGAGAGTCTACTGGGTTTTCTGAACGCCTTTGCCTCTCTCTTTCCTTATGTTACCTATGGCAGCTGTTCCTGTGGTAAGAAGCAGATGCAAATATAACCTTGAATTGTCCCCAAGTGACTCTGCACTGTCACAATATGTGATTTAATAACTAACTAAATATATTCACTAATCATGGAGGGACTAACCAAAAGCATAGCAGTAGCCAATAGCAGCAGCCAATTCTTGTCTCTTTTCTTAGGCGTCTTCCATCAAATGACTGGACCTTAACTTGTATGTCGTGCAACTGCTGCCAAATCAGTCCCAGGACATTAGAGACTAGGTGGGCGAGGTAACATCGTGTATTGGAGTAACTTCATGGGGTCATAGATTATGAAGCTGGAAGGGACCATTATGATCATCTAGCCTGAGCTCCCATGTATCACAGACCAGAGAACCTCACTCAATACTTGATGGACCAAGCCCATAACTTGAGTCTCCATTGCCCGGTATCCTATGTAGCTATTTACACCTGTGCAAAGTGGGTGCAAAGTGTTGCTGCTCTAAAGTCTTAATATATTTGTTATTTCATTTGTTTGTTCCCCCCTTAAACTTTACAAACTCCAGTGAACCTCAATGCTGATGAATGGTGCTCGTCTGGAAGCCTTGGGTACTATGAAGTACTGTATTTATCCCGGGGATATATACAGAATAGTGAAAATCTTCCCACACAGGACCTGACTCATATGCCTGGACCTTGATCTTGGGACTGGTTCAATTCCTTGTGGAATTTAAAGCAGCCACAAGACTATTTTAAGTTGTTCAAAGTGCAATTCACTGGGCGGCACCAGAGTCAGGTCCCAGATCCTGGTCCAACCTTCTCCAACAATGGCAGAGCACTGTGCTAGCAAGGTCAGCTCTCACCATCTCAGGAATGTCCCTAATTCTGAGAGTATCCACAGTTGGCTGGTTAAACTCACTTTATAGTCTCTAGCTTCTGCAGCTGTGACAAAAAGGGCCCTATGCCAGGGGCCAGGATCTGGCCCAAAGGATCCAGAAGTAAGACTGCAATAACATCAGATTTTTTTTCAATTAAGAGATTAATTTCAACAAGATTATTTTAAACTGCATGAGTAAACCCGAGTGAGCTAATTTCATGTCTGCCTGGCTCTCCACACACTCCATTAATCAAGATCCTTTAGCAGGCTATCCAATTACAAACATTACATCATCAGAATAAAGTTTCCCTGACTGACCACAGCCTGAGCCCCTGACATGGGCACTAGCTGCTTGGGGGAAGCAGTAGCCTTATGCAAAAATAAACCATTTCTTGTGCATAACACAGAGCACATCATACAATATGACAGGGACTAATTTAGTTACAACCATTCAAGAGAGAGATCTTGGAGTCATTGTTGATAGTTCTCTGAACATGTTCATACAGTGTGCAGCGGCAGTCAAAAACGCAAATAGAATACTAGGAATCATTAAAAAAGGGATAGAGAATAAGAGAATATTGTATTGCCCCTATATAAAACCATGGTACACCCACGTCTTGCATATTGTGTACAAATGTGATCGCCTCATCTCAAAAAAGATATATTGGCATTGGAAAAGATTCAGAAAAGGGCAACAAAAATGATTAGGGGTTTGGAACAGGTCCCATCTGAAGCGAAATTAAAAAGACTTGGACTTTTCAGCTTAGAAAAGAGGAGACTAAGGGGGGATAGGAGAGAGGTCTATAAAATCATGACTGGGGTGGAAAAAGTAAATAAGAAAAAGTTATTTACTTATTCCCACAAGATAAGAATAAGAATATAAGGGGTCACCAAATGAAATTAATAGGCAGCAGGTTTAAAACAAACAAAAGGAAGTTTTTCTTCACTTGGCGCACAGTCAACCTGTGGAACTCCTAGCCAGAGGAGGTTTTGAAGACTAGGAATTTAACAGGTTCAAAAAAGAGCTAGATAGATTCATGGAGGTTAGGTCCATCAAAGGCTATTAGCCAGGATGAGTAGGAATAGTGTCCTTAGCCTCTGTTTGTCTGGAAATGGGTGACAGGGGAGGGATCACGTGAGGATCACCTGTTGTGTTCCCTCCCTCTGGGGCATCTGGTATTGACCACTGTTGGCAGACAAGATACTGGGCTAGATGGACCTTTGGTTCCACCCAGCATGGTCATTCTTACGTTCACACATAGATGTTTGTGAAATGTACACAATGAACGGTGACACTACCCTGGTATTGAGGGTTGTTTGTTTTTCCCTTTTGTTACACCCACAAAAATGGAATCAGATGGCTGAAATGTTTGCTACAATTTACTTAAAAATGGACTCCTTTTTCAACATGAATGAGCCCAAGTGGAAATGGATTAATTCTGACCCACAAGTACCCTTTGAAATATGAAATTTCAAGTTGCTCATGATGCAAAAATAACCATGAAGTTGAATTTCTCAAAACAGAAAAATCTGAGAGGCATGAACTCACCTGGAACGAAACAGCAATTTGCGTGCAATGTCTGGATGATACATTTCTGTCTGATGTGTCCTGCTCTAACCATGCGTAACACAAAATGGAGGAACATGTGCTTCATTACAACTGCTGTGCTTGGAGGTCTTATATAACTTAAATAAGCTCAGCCCTTAAACCGGCACATGAAGATAAAAAGTTATTTATTACTCACATGGCAAGCCTATAAGTCGGCTGATTTGATTGGATTTACCTGAACAATAGCATCAGGGCTTGCAAGAAAGTTCTGAAGTTGTTGTGTCGATTAATCGAGGTATCATCGTCTAGTGCAATGTTTCCAAATACCTAGAAAAGGAAACAAAAGCTATCAGGACCAAATGCAGCCTGGAGTAAGCAACCCTGGTAATCTCTGGGCCCCTGTCAGCAGCAGTGTATGAGATAGGCACAGTGGTCATGACTGGGTATAAAGCAGATGTTAGAGTGGGTGGGAATGTAACTTGTATCAAGTTGTGCTAAATGGGTGTAACTTATAGGGCTGGAGAGGCATAAGGTGTGGAGCAAGGAAAGACGCTAAACCGAAGAGAAGATGTTCTGGATGCACATGAAGCTGGCTGTCCCCAAAATTGAAGGAGCCAGTTTGGCCTTAGCATATGCTAGTGAATTCAATCAGAGCTACTTCCATTCACTCCAGGCTAAGCTGGATCCCTAAGGAATATCAGCATCTGAGCGCTGTTTGGCACAGTCCCTCGGGGTGGGAGCAATGGGGACTGTGCCTCCTCTGACCTTCTACTCTGGAGTTGGGGGAGCTCTTCACCTTACTCTGAAAGAGGCCCCCTGCTGGAGGCAGGCAGTAGCAATAGCGTGTCTCGTGCTCTGCGTCAACATGGCAAATCGTAGAGTCTTAGCTGTCGAAGCCAACATGTTACCTGCATGCCGATAATGGCGTAGATGAAGAAGAGCATCGCAATGAGGAGACACACATAAGGCAAGGCCTGGAAAAAACCAATAGGGACAGCATTAACAAAGCAGGGCCACAGATTAGCAAACAGTCTTTATTAATTATTGGTTAGCACGGAGCTTCTCCAAACTGCCTGTGGTTTGGATGAGAGCATTAGCAAGAGAAACCTGAGCTGCTGTGGCACAAAGGAGACCTGCACAAGAGACTCGGCTGAAAGCTGGTCTTGCCTTACTACACGCCATTAGGTTGTAGTAAGGCAAGACTATTTATTTTGCTTTAAATAAAGTTAGTTTTCTGCACTGTTATGGTCCATACCAACCCGTGTGAGTAGACGGAGCCTCACCAGAAGGGAGGCACTAGCAGACTGCAGGGTGCGTACTTTAGCCTAGTCATGACATACCGTGGCGGTTCTCAGGCAATGTTATACAATTATAAAAGTTATTTCTGAAGTTTAGTAAAAACACATTCTTAGAAAAATACATCTGCAAAGAAGCAAGCGCTGGGTTTAACTGGGCATTGTGGGGGAAAAGAGAAGTTTCCGAGTCTTGAGTGATAAATCATTAAAGGTTTGAGCAGTGCGCCTCAACCTACTTACCATCATGGGCCACATCCAGAATGACCTGCATGGCCATGAGGATGTTACATGGGCTGCAGCTCTGTGCTGACTGGGCTAAAGGTTTTTTTATAAGGGAGATTGCCTATCTCCTAGAACTGGAAGGGACCTTGAAAGGTCATTGAGTCCAGTTCCCTGCCTTCACAGCAAGACCAAGTACTATCCCTGATTAATTTTTGCCCCAAATCCCTAAATGGCCTCCACAAGGATTGAACTCACAACCCTCTACTTAGCAGGCTAATGCTCAAACCACTGAGCTATCCCTCCCCTCACTGGGCTTGACTAAGAGTCAGTTGCTCTGCCCAGGCTGGGAGTCCCTATGACCCCAACCTGTGCAGCCACCAAGACTTGCAAGTGTGACGTGCCTGCTCACCCCTGCCCTTGGCGCCAATGGCAGGGGAGGAGAAGGGGTGGAGCTGCATCTCCTCAATATAGTGCTAGCACAGCGTAACGGGCATGGGGCGGGGATTGTGATAAGCAAGAGCTGTAGGTGCTCAGGAGCAGATTCTTCACTCCCTTATGTCTATATTTCCTCCCCTGTAGAAAACAGGGATAATAATATTGCTATGCTTGGGGCTGGGAGGCAAGAGCAGTGACCTTGTATGGAGAAAATGCACTCCATCTGACCTTGGCCTGCATCACTACTGATGTCACTAATGATCTTGCCACCAGCTGGCTCTCAGACATCCAGCCAAAGGATTTGGTTCATGCATCTGTCTCTCTCTCTCTCTCTCAAGACCAGGCCCAGGTGGCATGCTCCAGAGCAAGCTGCCTGGCAGAGGTTGATCCAGACCCAGTCACCAGCTGGCTCTCAGACATCCAGCCAGAGGATTTGGTTCATGCATCTCTCTCTCTCTTTCAAGACCAGGCCCCATGTGGCATGCTCAAGAGCCTACAGCCTGGCAGAGGTTGATGCAGACCCAGCGTTTTCCGAGCCCCACTCTTGTGTTTTAACTACAAGCCCGTCCCTTCTATCCTTCCTAGGGCACCGGTTTATTTCAGAGGCACCTTCTCTGTCCAAGGGTGGGAGGTGTTCCTGGTGCATTTCAAACTGGCTGCTGTGGCCTTTACGTACTACCCATCCCCACCTCACCTCGAGAAAGTGTTATCAAACACACATCCTGGGGTATTTGCTTGAAAGCACAGCAGCCAGAGCAAGAGGCCTTTAATTCCACGGCCTGACCGCTAAGTGAGAGCGGAAATGTTGAAGGTGCACTAGAAACCACCCAGCTGCCTGCCCCCCACGATCTCTCAAAGGACTTCAAACTCCTGGTGCTGAACTCCTCAAGTCCCAGCTCTCCAGGCTGCAGCCTGTACCCAGGCCGGTCGACGGGAGGGGGAAGGACAAAGGGAGCAAAGGCCCCTGGGCCTGGTGATTCTCGAAGGCCAGAATGCCGCTCCGCATGGCTCTGAGGGCTGGGAGTGGCAGGGGCAGTGCCATTGTCTGAGGGCTGGCTATCCCAGCCCCCACTTCTGCCCGAGTCCCCACCCTTTCCAGGGAGCATGGAGCCTGCCCCAGGGCGCACAGGAGCTGTGGGCCCCGCTGCCCGCACAGCATTCTACTGCCTTCCTTCTCACGTGCACAATGTTACGTAACTTCTCCATCCTCCACCTTCTCCATCCTCCTCCAGCTCCAGCACCTCCCACAGCCCCTCTCTCACTCTCCGTTCCTCTCCACACTCCTTCCCCACTCCCCCCAGCCATCTAGCAACTCCCTGGAGCACACCCCTTCGCCTCTCTTGTTCTTGGAGGAAATTTCTTCTATCTGGAACCTCTTGCTTCACTGACTCCACATCACATCCTGACCCCATTACACACCTGCTCTCTCTTGAGTTTTCTTTCCCTTTGCAAGTATCTGTGGATTAACTCTGAAAGGCAGCTGCAGGGAGCAGCTTTTATTGAAGGCCCTAGACAAAATAAAATTGCCCCATTGTTCTCAGGGAAGCCTCTGCTGCACGCGCTTCCATGCAACAGTCTAACAGCAGCTGCAAGACCTCAAGCTAGAGGGAACTCTATACACAGTAGAAAGCCTGACATATGATACATAGGCACACAGAACAGCTTACTGTAACTCAGTGGAGGAATCGAAGTCGGGGGGGGGGGGGGGGGGGCGGGGGGGGGGGGGAGTGAGCTAATGGATAAGGTCTGGTATGAGCTCCCTGTTCCTCACTTTCTCAACTGTAGAAAAGCGAATCATGACCCCTTTCTTCAGTCATAAAGCACTTTGAGATTCTTGGGGAAGAGACCAACTTTTGCTTATGTGTTTGAGCATCATGAGGTTGGGTCCTTTACCATAGTAAAAACAGCAAATAATAGTATATGCTAAATATTATTTTTGCAGATAGTCTGGTGATCGCACTATAACACCCCGACTGAATTAGGAGAAAATGATACCCTTCTTAGTCTACAGAATTTAATTAGATCCCTTCTACAGAATTAAAATCAAACCAAACACCATTCATTCTCTACATTCCATAGGTTGTGGAAAGCCCACCTCGACTTCTGTGAACTCTGCTGTTTTCACCCCATATAAATTCTAGAAGAGGTTTTGCAGCAGACAGAGGAGGAGCATGGAACGTTGCCCTCCTGTGCCCTATTTCTGTGTCTGCAATTTGTTCTCTTTTGGAGCTGATTTTCCAAAGTGTGGAGTACCAGCAGGTTCCACTGATGTCAATGAATGTTAGGGGCACTGAATGCTTCTGAAAATCAGACCAAGGAGAACCTTCATCAAGTTAATTACATGCCTGACAGACAGGTTATCAGAGAACTGTCTTCTAGGGATGCTGAAAAGCTTAATTCTTTAGTATTTGATGTCCTCACCTGGAAGATGCTACCGAAGTGCAAGGCATTAGCTGATCCCCTTCTGCTTTCAGCCGTGAGGGCTACTCACCTTAAAAGATTGTACAAATGTCCAGAGCAGAATGCGGATGGTGTAGCCCTGGCGAAGAAGTTTGATGAGTCTGGCAGCCCTGAAGAGCCTCAGGAAGCTGAGGTTGATGAAGTTATCCTGTGGAAAGTAAAGGTTTTGTGTCCTTCAGAAATTAACGCGACTAGAAACCACAGCCCGCAAAAAAGAAATTAAAATTACCGGCTTCACGATCTAAGCAGCAAATCGGCCACCAGAAAACCTTCCAAAAGAAACATTCGTCAGTGCAGATCACTCCACATGCAGTAAGTCTGAGAAAACCCCTCTCCACAAAAGCCCCTCCCTCGGCTATTGGGTAAATAATAAAAAGGAAAAAAAATTTCCCTTATGCACTTTTCTTTCAATTCTTGTTTTCTTTGTGCAAAGCTGGTTTTCCCCGTGAAAGGAAAGTGATGGTGATTATTATTTGCTAGTGAGCGGGATTGTTTTGAAGTCTTGGATTGGCTCATTTTATTTTTATTATAGTGAATCCAATGTAAGCCCAGAGGGTCTATAAGAGTGCGTAGCTTTAGCCTCTTCCATGACAAAGGAAGAGATCAGCCAATCTACTTTAAAGCACCCTCCTTTTAGAAGTATTTACACAACAGGTGATAGGACAAGAACCTTGCTGACCTGCAACGCTGGAATCTGATCATTATCTTAGAGGGGAGATCATTTGCAGGCAAGATTGAGTGATCCACAGCAGGGGTTGCCCTTAGGCACCTGCTGACTTATTAATGATTCACAAATATCACTTTTAAGGTAAATCAAAGAAATGCCAGGGGGTTTGATTTTTATTTGATCGTTTTAGTTGATTCTTCTCCCTTCCCTTTTATGGACAGAAAATAGGTCATTTAACGAGCTAACCTAGAAGGGGAGGAGGTCTTTCCAAACGAAAACATGCAAAGGTTGAAAGAGGAGGGCAGGGGGGAATCTAAGTAGATTAAAAAAAATCCCCCCTGCCTACATTAATCCCAATTCCAGTGAATGCTAAAATTTAACCACAGGAATTAATTTGACTAGGCTAACTAAACAAAATTCCACCTAGTATTAAGCAATGGAGAGGGTGACCCAATCATAAGGAGGCCTTGTAGGTAAAGATGAATCAGTACAGTCTTCCTCTAGTCCCATCTCCCATCATCTTTTACCACAAGATACCTGCTCAGATTAAAGGGATTGACAGCTCTTGTTAATCTGTGTGCATAGCTCATGCTGAGTTTGGGGGTGCCTGTTTTATCTATTAATTTATTTAAATGCTAGCTGAGCAAACTGGGCCAAGACCGCTGCATTCCACGGATACCATCAAATGGTTCAAGAAATCAGTTTCAGACATGCACTTGGGTTGGGTTTAAAATGCAAGCAGCTCAGAGTTAGGCATATATTGTATGTCAGACCCAGTCCTAAAATAAAGAGAAAAGAGAAAAGCACAGGTATGTTCCATGAAAGAGCAGACAACACGGAAGCGATTTCTAGTCTACCACGGAAGGCAGTCCACGGCAGGCAAGACACAAGCAAGGATTCTCCTGGGCTGTTTAACGTTTGGATCATCAGCGCCTGTTTTGCGAAGATGATTTCTTAGAACAATACTTTAGGTTATTGTCCCTTGATACAATACATATCAGAGCTCAGCTCAGCATTAAAGGCCATCTATGGCCGGGAGTCAGATTTTCATTGTGGTTATGGCAGTGTAAATGTATCAGAACTTCACTGATGTAATCTAGTTTTCAACCTAATCCCCGATCTAGGAACTTGAGTGGTCAAGGTCCATTTGAGTAGTGGGGATAAATCAGGGCCCACTTCCTACTGACTTTGTGCAGGTGTATGAGCCTGGGACTGGTCCTGCTTTGGGCAGGCGGTTGCACTCCATGACCTCCTGAGGTCTCTTCTAGCCCTAGGAGTCTATGATTCAAAGCCCAACGAAGTCAATAGTAAGACTTCACCTTCTCAGGTGTTGGATCAGGCCCCAAGTGATGACACAAGGTTCGTGGCTTTGGGAAATCAGGTCCTTAATTCCCATTGATACAATAGGTAGATATGGTGTGGTATATGGGCCAGGCCCCGCACACACACAATCTTCCTCATATAAGCAGTTCTGTATACATACAGCAAGTGTAAACAGGATCAGCCCTGAATTTATAAAACATTAGAAGTGCATTTCCCCAGCATTTTCCCCTGAAGAATTCTTACAGCGTGTGCTTGGTAGCAAAACCACAATAGTTTGTCTTGTCCAGACTCCTGTTAAAATTCCCTCATAATCACAGTCAGCTGATACGATGCTTAACATGTGTCTGATCTAAGTCATGGTCAGCATGGTCGCTGCGAACTCCATTTTTCACCTCTACAGGAAAACACAGGACGGCTGTGTGATAATAAGAAGTGCTAGCGAGGGAGACGTGCAAGTAAAAAAGGAAGAAGATCTCTACAACATGAACCTGGTTGAGGACCAGCTTCAAACGGAATTAGGCACCCAACTCTCATTGAAATTCCATGGGAGTTAGGAGCCTAACAATGTTCTTTTTTTTTATTACAGATCCAAGCTCAACATCTGTTTTTCAAACACTCCTGCCAGTGTTTCACTCTGTGTAATCAAATGAATAGCCCAGAGGGGGATCACTTTTCACTCTGTGTAATCAAATGAATAGCCCAAATGAATAGGGGGGATCACGAGCAACCCAGGAAAATCCTATTTTATCAAGTTACAAAGCTTTTGAGGGACAGTTCTCCATGCTATTCCCTGTTTGGTAACATTACACATGCAATTGTGAGAATTGAAGGGATATAGCTCATGTGTTTAACACCCCCCCCCCCCACACACACACACCTCCCATACACTGTGCAGAAAAACTGTCCCTCAAGACCTCAGCAGTTATTAGAATTGCATGCACTTAAAGGAGAAACTCCACATTGCAGTATTTCTTGTGCTCCATTATTTTTGCATTGATTTTCCTTTCAAATAACCATATGTGAGAGAGGAATGTCATTCTGGCGGATGATTTATTTCATTCTTGCTATCTCTTTTTTCTGTTGCACAGGTGCTGAACACGGGCGAGGGTGAATGACATTATTTTAATGTCTTAGCTTTTACCCATTCCCATAATATGTTATTTACTGTATTTAAAAGTAGAAAAATGACCACAAATATGTCATTCTGCTATTCACCAAATCTGCTCCTTTTGCATCTACAGCCTCATCTCAGCTTCATTTGCAGACTGCTAAACTGGTGGCCATGTCAGAAGAGGGAGTAAAGATGCACAAAAGCAATCTGTATTTTATTCTGCTGTGTGTATTGTCAGCAAAATGACTGGCTAAGTTAATTTCAGAATCTTTTATCTGAAATGAGATTTGTGACTTCTTTTACCACAGCTGAATTTGTCTTCATGGATTATCATATTGATGTGAGTTACATCTCACAGAATGATGAGATCTGCGAAAGTTACACTGGTGTGCTTCATACGCCTGCTTTTCTTTCTTTCAACTAACTTATGCCAACACCATCAAACATGAATTTCTCGCAGACATATAACAGAAAACAAATGGCCTGTAGCTTTAGAATATGTGACAAGTAACAGTGGGTGTGGATTTGTAAAGAACAAATCGTGTCAAGAGAACCTAATAGCTTTCTTTGATAGCAAAACCTTGCGGATAAGGGGGAAGTGGTAGATGTGGTATATCTAGTCTTTAGTAATGCATTTGATACAGTCTTGCATGACCGTCTCATTAACAAACTAGGGAAAAACAACCTAGGAGGAGCTAATATAAGTTGGATGCATAACTAGTTGGATGACCATTCCCAAAGAGTCAATGACTCACAGTAATGCTGGAAATGCATGACGAGTGGGTTTCTGCAGGGATCAGTTCTGGGTCCAGTTCTGTTCGATATTTTCATTAATGATTTGTATAATGGCATTGAGAGTGCACATATAGAGTTTGCAGATGATACCAAGCTGGGAAGGGTTGCCAGGGCTTTGGAGGATAGGACTGTCATTCAAAATGATCTGAACAAACTGTAGAAACAGTCTGAGGTAAATAGGATGAAATTCAATAAGGCCAAATGCAAAGTGCTCCACTTAGGAAGGAGCAATCAATTTCATACTTACAAAATGGGAAATGATTGTCTAGGAAGGAATACTTCAAAAAGAGATCTAGGGGTCATAGTGGACAACAAACTAAATGTGAGTCAACAGTGTGACACTGTTGAAAAAAAAAGCAAACACCATTTTGGAATGTATTAGCAGGAGTGTTGTGAGCAAGATATGAGAAGTGATTTTTCCACTCTTCTGATTAGGCTTCCGTTGGAGTATTGTGCCTAGTCTGAGAGCCACATTTCAGGGAAGATGTGGACAAATTGGAAAAAGTCCAGAGAAGAGCAACAAAAATGATGAAAGATCTAGAAAACACGACCTATGAGGGAAGATTGAAAGAACTGGGCTTGTTTAGTTTGGAAAAGAGAAGACTGAGAGTGGACATGATAGCAGCTTTCAAGTACCTAAAAGGGAGTTACCTGGAGGAGGGAGAAAAATTATTCTCCTTGGCCTCTGATGACAGGACAAGAAGCCATGGGCTTAAATTGCAGCAAGGGAGGTTTAGGTTGGACATTAGGAAAAACTTCCTGTCAAGGAGGTTAAACACTGGAATAAATTGCCTAGGGAGGATGTGGAATCTCCATCATAGGAGAGATTTAATAGCAGGTTAGACATTTATCTGTCAGGGATGAACTAGATGAACTAAAGGGAGGTTCCAAAGAGGATGGAGAGAGGCTGTTCACAGAAGTGAGAGATAGCAGAACAAGGAACAATGGTCTTAAGTTACAGTGGGGGAGGTCTAAGTTGGATATTAGGAAAAACTATTTCCCTAGGAGGGTGGTGAAGTGCTAGAATGGGTTACCTAGGGAGGTGGTAGAATCTCCATCCCTAGAGGTTTTTAAGTCTCGGCTTGACAAAGCCCTGGCGGGGTTGATTTAGTTGGGATTGGTCCTTCCAGGGTGCTGGACTTGATGACTTTGTGAGGTCTCTTCCAGCTCTATGATTCTATGATGCTTGGTCCTGCCATTAGGGCACGGGATTGGCCTTGACAACCTGTCAAGATCCCTTCCAGTTCTATGGTTCCATGTCTACTCTGCAGTTAGGGACGTGGCTTCAGCCTACCTAGCATAGATAAATATAGCAGTGGCATGGACCAGCAGCGGGAGTACATTGCCAGAATTCCAGACGGGCTTGCACAGCCCATGCTGCTGCCTCTTCATTGCAGACATGCTAACTGTCTTCCTTCAAATGACAGGTTCTTCCAAAGTCATGTGCCGGATGAGGCAGCTATTTGGCCTTGAGGACAGAGGTCAGCCTTTGAATCTTCAGTGCTGTCTCAGGGCTATCTTGGGGAGACTTCATTGCACTGGAGGGATGACAGTTGGGAACTAACATTTCAACTATGCCGCTAAGAAACAACAAGCAAGAAGCTGCTCACATGGTCAAAGAATCTGAAGTGTGCAGACACACACGGTCTCCCCCAGATGAATGTGACCAGAATGGTCCCCCCTGATGCATGTGACTCTATTCATATTAAGGGGGAATGATCATACCCTGGGCGAAGTCTTGTCTTCATTGAAGAACTCTCCCTGAAATCAACAGGGCCAGGATTTCACCCTATCTGTGTGCGCTGCCGAGACTCTGTCATGTTGTTTCCTTTGACCCTAGCCCGGGAAACTGAAGTCAAGGGGATTTCTCAAGCATGTGAAATTCAGCCCCTGGAGGATCAGGATCTAAACCATTAATCTGCACGGGCTCGTCTACATTGGCCCCTTTTCCGGAAGGGGCATGGTAATTTTTGAAATCGCAATAGGGAAATGCGCGGGGGATTTAAATATCCCCCGCGGCATTTAAATAAAAATGTCCGCCGCTTTTTTCCGGCTTTTAGAAAAGCCGGAAAAGAGCGTCTACACTGGCCCCGATCCTCCGGAAAAAGCGCCCTTTTCCGGAGGATCTTATTCCGGCTTTTCTAAAAGCCGGAAAAAAGCGGCGGACATTTTTATTTAAATGCCGCGGGGGATATTTAAATCCCCCGCGCATTTCCCTATTGCGATTTCAAAAATTACCATGCCCCTTCCGGAAAAGGGGCCAATGTAGACGTAGCCCACCAGTACCAAGGCCCACATTTTCCAATGTGGGTGATTAAGTTTTATCAGACGTACTCGCTTTGTTGTACATGTGTGAACTGCATTTGCACACACAAACTGGATAGCATAGTTATGGCCATCTCTGCTGTCATCATTCCGGTACTATAAAGAACTTTCCTTTCAGATTTCACCCTGAAAATTCTAGAAAGGCATAACTTGCACTTTACATTGCTTTTGCTTCTCTGTTGTTTCCCAAAAGACAACTTCCCCCATGATCCTGCATGAAATGTTATGGAATGTGTGTGTCTGCAGTCTGTCATGGAGGCGAAAGCTTTTATAATCTCTGGATAAAACAGCAACTGTGCGACAGAAATTCCAGATGGAAAACTAACGTAGCTTAAAGGGATGCTGCCAGATAAAATAAATGTATTTTTAATAAACCCATGTCTTTGTGTTATTAATGCCACTTGGGGTTATTAAAAATGAAATAGTTTTAACATATTTGTCACAATCTATACGGCTTGTTGCTTTTTGTATTTACTCATCCTGGGCAAAGAAAACAGTCTATGTTCGGATTTCCTATGAGCCAATGGGAGTTAGGCATCTAACGTTGATTGAATTTTAATGGGATTTGGATACCTACCTTCTTTCAACCTTTTTGTTGCTAGTCACTGTTTCCTTTTAGATCTCATAGGGGGGCAAAATAGTACTATATTGGCTTTCCCGTGGACATTCAAAGCCAGAGTTAATGTTTTCACTAATCTCTTTATGCTTCACTAAAAATCTTTGTTTTTCAATCAGAGTTAAACTATGGGTTTAAAACACCTGGCATTGTCCTTTTAAATGGACCACTTCTTTTGTCATAAAACCCAACCAATCTCAGTATAAAATAGTGGTTGCTTAGATGCTTAAAGTTGATTCTATCACCTACAAAATAAAGATTGCTCAAGCCAAAGAAACTTCCCTACTCTAGAGGTCATGTGAAAAGAGCTATCCCTCCACCTCTAAGTCAGCCCTTCATGAAAATAAAGCAAATGTCAGTTTCCCCTTTATTGTTATCAAGTGAAACAACAAACAGCAGAAAACAAGCTATTGGTGACTTTATTTGCCTCATATCACCAATTAGCCAATGGGAAGAAGATGCACAAGAGGAGCCAATGATGAGGCATGCTGCAAACGTACAGTGAGACTTCCCACTAGTGCAATCGGTAATCTCATTAAAATGAAATTTAAAAAATAATATTAAACCAACAGAAAATAAAAGCAGAGAATTAAATAAGTGTTTAAATTCAATGAAACCAACCGTGTCCTATATGTGATGTTTTCATGGATGAATATTTGCAAGATTATTTACAAATTATTTTTTGAGCAGCAGGCGCACAACATACAGACGGAGACATGGTTTTCGCATTGTATGTTGATTGGATGGCGTGATTCAGCAGGTAGGTAAGGAAAATAAAGAACAAAAACAGAAAACAAAAGAGAAAATGAGTAATCAGGACGAGCAAGAAACAAAAGCTCTGAAAATTTCACTGGAAAAAAATTGTTGGGTTTGGAGGTTTCCCCTGCTTTTATGGTAATTATATAAATTAAAAAAATGTTTCAAATCAAAACCGATTTTGAAACCCTAAAGGTAACACAGACAGTGCAGCAGTTATTTGCATTTCATCTTGTAATGCAAATTAGGAGACAGTTCACAAACACTTTTTATTTTATTTTTTTGTATTTCCAGGCAGAGAAATAGATGTCAGTTTCATATATGCTCATTGTACCTCCTACGGGCCTCCTAAACTCAGAAGGACTGACCTGTCTTTTTAACTCCATCTCATTTATTTAGGTTATTAAACCAGGGAAAAACTGACATATGTGTATTTTTTGCCTAAGGAAATAAAAAAAAAATCTACTGCATTCACAAAGTAAATCACATATAACACGACTAAGAAACCAAAGAAAGCAATTTATCAACACATTTCTTTTCCTTTTATCTTTACTCTTTAGTGCTACGAAACTGCTGATGCAGCAAGGCTAGGTAGGTTAACACGAGGTCTACACTGGGGCTTTATTTCGAGCCCCCCAACCACTTAGGTCGAATTAATAAGCAAAGCATCCACACTACCGAGCTCATTATTTTGAAATAATGGGCCACTTATTTCAAAATCTGTACTCTTGCTTTCCTTGGGGAATAATGCTAATTTTGAAAAGTTATTTTGAAATAGAGGTAGCGTGGACACTCCAGTACCGCTATTACAAAATAACTATACCCCAGAGTAATTCGAACTAATTACTTCCCAGTGTTTCCTTGGGCTCTAAGTTGAGGTGGCGGGTCCACGTTAACGGAGCCTGCCTCCGACTAATTTCGAGGCTTCCGCATAGTGAGGACACATTATTTCAATTTTGTTATTTCAGGAGTTATTAAATCTATTTTAGTTATTTCAGAATAGTTTCCTAGTGCAGACATGCCCATAGTTGGTTGAGTTGGCTTGGAGAATGTTTACAGTGGGGAAATTGAGGGAGGTTGGTCAAGCAGGAAACAGGATTCCTTGCAGCTCTCTGCAAGCCAGATCTCTCTCTTTCCCATCGCTAGCCACAGTTTTCAGCGATCGCAGGGTTGGTTTCACAGAGGAGTTCTCCCCCAACGGAGAGTAGGAAGAAATTCATTTCCATTGTAGGAACCCCTAAACAGAAATTGTGCTGAGTCGAGAACGCACCAGGATGGCATATGGACTTCTTGGTGCCCAGGTAAAAAAAACCACACATAACTTCATGCTGATAGCTCATTAGGGCAACACACCCATGTGAGTGTTGCCATACAAATGTCCCTACTGCCATCTACATCCCACTGAGCACCTTCCCCTCAGGAAGGCCAGGCTGCCAACAAAAGGGACCTGTCCCCCCATAAGCAAATCACACACTTTGGGCATGGATCTTTGGAAAATTACCTGAGAACAAAGTCCCCTTCCTTTCTCTGGCTACTGCAGTTTGTATAACAGCACAGCTTGACCCTAGAAGGAGGTGCAAGGTGGCTATGTTCCAGACTATGCATGAATAGAGGCTAAGTGAGGTTAAGCATTAGCTACCCTGAGCTGCAATCAGTCTCAGTCCCTTAGTCACTTGCAACCAGACAGCCAACATAGGATACAGAATCCACCAAAGGTAGGGAGGTGGGGTAGTCTCGGCTCAGCTCTGGAGTGGCATAGGGTATTTACCTGGAGAGCACAGGATGGTGGGTTCAAGTCAAGTGAGTTCAAGTCCCCTTACCTGCAAGAGGCTGAGGGGCAGGAAAAGGTTTGCACATGAGCAAAGATTAAACCCAATCGAAGAGATACCCCCTGAAGAAAGCTCTTCAACTTTCTAATGAGGCATCACGTGGTCCACTCCCCTCTTATGATTTGTTTCAGCTCTCGCTGGGGTGATTGACATCTGCCTGGCAGTGTTCTCACTAATACAGGGCTAAATTCCCCAACACACCTTATTCCTCGCAACATTTTTCACTGGGTATTTTCAAAAGCACCTCAGTGATTTAGGAGCTGCAGACCCATTAAAGTTTAAAGAGGAAAAGCTGCATAGGCTGAGATCAGCAAGGATCTTTCCCCAACTCTCGTTGACTTCACAGCTTGCTCGTAAGTGAAAAGGAAAAGCCATCTGCGGTAATGCCTTTCCAGGAGACGGAGTACAGCTTGTGCAGCCATGGGGGAGAGATCGAAAGGAAGACTCCACATGCCCTTCAGATTTTGGGCTGGGGCCCAAAACAGCCCTCAGTGTAATGCAGGCAGGTCTGCTCTCAGTTACAGCTGTCCATGTCTGTACCAGGAAAGGCCAGAATGGCCATATTGGTGTGTGTGACAGCCTTGCCCCTGTGCCTAAGCACCATAGAAAGGGGCTGAATTCTCCCTTTTGGATTCCACCCTAGATATTTTGGTCTTCTTTGGGCATAGAGGAGGAAGAAAAGTACCAGTGCAGCCGAGCCCTTGTTTACATGCAGCAGGATGACTGTAAAAGTGGCGTTCCGTGTCAGGGACACACTGAAAACGACCATTATTTATTGCTCTTCAAGTCTTGTTCTGGATGTAATTTATGGAATACCACTTAAAAAAGTGTAACTAAGCAACGATTTCACGAGACCTGTGTGTCAATGTCCCCCTTATGTGAGCTAAGCGCCTTTCTAACATCTCTTCAGCCAGCTTTGTGCGGTGCCAGAGAAGTAGTTGCCCCCTGATCCTGTTTGAAGGTTACAAAAAGAGGTGCTTTGCTTAAAGGGTTCTTCACCAGAGGCCACAACAGCTGTTCCATAACAAGGAATGTGTTACTATAGATGGAGACTAACTAGACAGAGTCCAGAGGGCAGCAACAAAGACGAGAGAAGCCCAGTGAGGAAAGGCTGAGACAAATGGTTATATTCAGTTGAGAGAAAAGAGTAAAAGGGAGACAAGGAAAGTGTATACAACTACTTATAAAGGCATGAATAAAAGACCACAGGGATTAAAATAGGTTCATTAGTCAATGGATACAGAACAAGGAGTAATGGGCTGGTGCTGAAAAGGGCACATTTAGGTTAAATGTTGGGGGAAAGTTTGTTTGTAAGAACAGTTTTGTAACAAAACTCACAGCCAAGAAGGTTGCAGAATCACAATAACTGGAAATACTCAGCCACCCCTCTTTGAGGAGAGCTAGGTGTTTACACTTAGGCTATGTCTAGACTGCATTGCTTTTCCGGGATACCAGAGGCATGCCGGAAAAGCAACGCCGCGTCCAAGGAATGCATCTGCTTTTCCGAAATTTTTTCGAAAAAGCGGATGTGCTCTTTTGCCACCACTGTAAACCTCATTCTATGAGGCATAAGGGATGTGTCGAAAGAGCACTTTTTTCCCTGAAATTTGTCACCGTGTAGATGCGCCAAAGTTCAGAAAAGCCTCTTTTGAAAGTAAATCGGAAAAAGATGTGCATTAGCATACCGCAAATTGCGTATCTTTTTCCAATTTAAAACTGCAGTCTAGATGTAGCCTTTGTAACTCTTATACCAGGAGCCCCTAACATGCAACTTGGGAGCACCCCTGAAAAGTGTTACCGGTGCCTGGAAGTTTGGCTCTTTTGAACATGATCATCTTCTCCTGTCACACCAACCTTGAAACCATCAGAGTATTTTGCCCTCCATACTTGATGAGTGAGCTTGAAGAAATTGCAGTCCAATAAAAGAGCAATGGAAACACGCACATGAAATCACTGGTCAGTCCTAGCACATAGTATTTTCAGAATTACTAAGGGCCTGTCTACATGGACATCTGCTTGCACTCGCCAGCCCTTGACAGTCAGCATGGGCCCTGCTGACGTGCAGGAGCAGTTTGTTATTGTGTATTTCTCTCCTCCCACTGCAAAGAGAACTAGATCAAAGCGCACGAATGAATCGTCAGCAGGGTCCCAGCAGACAGTCAGTCTGTGGCAGGCTAGTGTGGAGCAGATCAACAACTCAGCTTGCCGTGCACTAAACGTTCACATAGACGCACGCTAGGAAAATCTGTTACAATCTGAGCGTGAAACGTACTATGTTCGTGGAAGGCCGCATGCATGTGTGCTCACGTGTGTCGTGAGTCTTGACTCTAGGATGCTCCATCCCATTGCCTGCTGCTGGTCAGTCTATGCTGGCCTCTCCGTGGCAAGGCAGGAGAAAAAAGACGGGAGCATGGAGCTTCGTCCTTCACCACCCCTCCAAACCTTTTCTGCAGAGCCAGGCAAAGTCATTCTCTCTGCTCTCTCCTGACCACACAGAGCACACTGTCCTCGCAATGGCTGGAGTGCAAAATACCCCAGAATCATGGGAGGGAAAGGTAAGAAGACCAACACTAATGACTCTTCCCCAAACAAATCCAAGCCCCCACACCAGCTGGCTGTGTGACTGCACAGCTGCCCCCAAGGTTCAGCACAAGGGATACACTGTCCCTGGGATACTGCAGCCTTGGACCATTCAATACTGAGCTGTGACCAAAGCACAAACGGCTTAATTCTATAAATGCGTCCAAGGGACAGGACTTCTTAGAGTAAAGTCTCCAGGGCTGGTTCCACGTGGCAAGCCAGGGTGTGAAGATACAGTGCCTCACTTTCACACGAAGTAACATCCTGAGTGGAGACTGCCCCAGAGCACTGAAAGCCTCAGAGTGCGGTTTGATATACTACAAGGAGTCACCAGGCCACCTGGTGAGTGTCCCGAAGGAATGGTACACAAGCAAGTGTGCTCTAGGGCCACACCCTGGCTTGCCATGTTACAACTTGCTACAGATAAGCCCTAAGAGATGTCCAAGGGAAAAGGATAGTATGTTTTCAATACTCATAACTAAAACAACATCACAATGTGATGCAGACAAGTAGCTATGATAATAACAGGTCATAAATGGGTTACAACCAGGTACTTGGTACACGGTCACTTTGTTCTTGTGAAAATCTCCTATAGAATTTAATAGAAAGTCTGGAATTTTTAAAGGATCCTACAAAATTCCTCAGCAGTGATGCAATTCTGTTATGTTTTACAGCTCAGGTGTAAGTTCTACAGAAATGACCTCAGGACTTGTCTACACTAACCTCTCCCCTTTCCCACACTGATCTAACCTATGCAACCTCAGCTATGCTAATCGCTGAAGTCGACATACTTACCATGGTATCTTCTGTGCAGTAAGGTCAGCACAGGTTGCTCTCCTGTTGACTCTGGCACTCTTTGCATCCTGGTGGAGGACCAGAGTCGACAGGAGAGAACATGGAGATTGATTCATCGCGTCTAAGCAGAAGTGATAAATCGACCGCCGGTGGATCGATTGCTGCAGTGTCGATCCATAGCATAGTGAAGACAAGCCCCCATTCTCTATTAAACTCTTCTAATACTAATTTCTACTGAAATCTTTTACAATGACCCCCAACAGGGCTAAACAATGGCTGCAGACGATGCTGCTGTTCTCATTCGCACCATCTGCTCCTTCCTGGTTTGTCACCATCACTTTGTGTCTAACATAAAATGCAGATTGAAAGCTTGAAGGGACAGAGAACAGTGGTTTTTATTTCCTCTGCAAGGCTCCTAGCACAGTGCTGGATACTACTAAAGAGGAACAATTGTAATAACCTGGTTTGGGTTTTTTCTCTATGAAATTCTATAGGACTTTTCCAAGAAGATGTAAAAAAGGCTCAAGAATGGGGATCCTTTCATTAAACGAGAAAGAGATGGCATTTCCTACAATAGCTATTAACACAGTTGTTCTCATCATAACACTTGGAAGGAGAGTCTTTAGCCAGGCAGTTTGTTCAGCCTGGGGAAAGAAAAGAGCTCCTGTGAATGGATCCCCAGAGCCCACCGTCTCATAAGGAGCCACAGGGAGCACTCCAGGAAACAGGCTGATGGGAAGGAGAGGCAATGCCTCGACAGGCCACAGATTTGTGGATTAAGAAAGTGAATTTGGCAAACTGTACTTACCGCAATCTCTGTTACTAAAATATCAGTAATACTTCCCAATACTGTTACGAAATCAAAGACATTCCAGGCATCTCGGAAATAATTCTGTGAAATACAAACAAAGTATAGGGAAAAAAATCTCTAAATTAAATGTGGGGAAGTTTTTTATCACTGCCTTGTCTCGCAGCATGAATGTTTGGTACAAAGGGGAAGCAGCAGAGGGTGACTGAGAAAGCAACATACCAGTACTCCAAAGGCAATGATCTTCAAAACACATTCCATTGAAAACATGGATGTAAACACAATATTCAGGCATTTCAACATTTCTTCATATGTCTCTGGAGCATCGTAGAACTACAATGGAGAGGGAAGACAGACTGTTATGGGAAGGCTTTTAGCTGATGAAACAATGTCCACAATTGAGTTGCTAGATTGTTGGAATCTTCATAGATTAAGCTCTGGTCTACAGTAGGACTTTACTTCAAAATAAACCCCCTTTAGTTGAATTTATAAGCGGAATGTCCATACTACCAAGCCTGTTATTTCGAAATAACGGGCTACTTAATTTGAAATCTATACTTCTGCTTTCCATCAGTAGTAACGCTAATTCCAAAATAGTTATTTCAAAATAGCAGTAGTGTGGATGCTCCGGTGCTGCTAGTTTAAGATAACTACTCCCCAGAGTAATTCAGATTAATTACTCCTCAGTGCTTCCTGGGGCTCAGTGTGTCCACATTCATAGAGCCTGCCTCGGACTAATTTTGAGGCTTCCCAATAGTGTGGACATGCTAGTTCAAGTTTGTTAAATTGGCAGTTATTAAGTCGAATTTACTAATTTTGAAATAATTTCTTAGTGTGGACATGGCCATAGGGCCAGATTCTGCCTTCAGTAAAAGTCAGATGCTGGTCTATGATTTGGACCATTAGTGCCATTCCAAAGGCACAATTTGGATTTTCCTCTAGCTTTGGAAAATCTTCCTCTGGTGTAGGGCCTCCTCCCAAGCCGCAGGTACATTGGGGGAATGGTTAAGAGTTCATTGCTGGAGATCTCTAAGGTGCAGTACCAGAGATGCGGACAAAATTGCAGGCCTTTGGGCTCTGATCTTCCAGAAGGGGTGTGGCCTCAGGCAGAAGGGGTGTGGCTGAGGCTAGCCTCTCCGCCAGCCCTTCAGCGCCACCTGGAGTGCGCCGCCTGGCACTCCAGAGGAGATTTAAAGGGCTCAGGGCTTTGGCTGCTACAGTAATGGTGGCTTGGAGCCCTGGGCCAGCTGCCTTCTTAGCCTGCCCCTCCCCCCCATCTGCAGGCACAGCAGCAGCATTCAGGGTATGCCCTGGATGCTGCTGCACCCCAGTGATATCCAGTAATGAAACAGCTCCTGGGCTCATCTGAGGCAGCTCCAGCTTATGCCAGAGATCGGGGTTGGGGGGTCAGTCCACACGATATAGACACATCTGCCTCCCCCTTTTCGGTGCTTTGTGGAGTTCAGCCAGACCAAAGATCCATCTGGTGCAAATCTAGGTAACTATTAACTTGAGTTGCCCTGGATTCAACCAGTGTAAACAAGAGGTAAATCTGACCCTTTATTAGGAGTGACGGATTCAGTGGGGAACACGACTTGATTAGAGACCCGAGTCCCAATTCCTCTGCAACCAGGCATAAGGTTGTGCAAGCAGATGCAGTCTGTGCTTTCTGCCTTCTGTATCCCAGTTGGGGAGCTCAGTCTTACAATGGTTCACATCGAGGCAATCAGCAAGGACCGCCCAGCTAACAGCATTGTGGCCAAACCAGTGACTAAGCAGCAGCAGAAGTAAGCTAGCTCTTGTCACTTTCATCTTACCATAGTATCTCAAGCACGTTGCTTCTACAGGTTGAAACTCTCTAGTCTGGCACTCTCTGGTCCGATAATATCTATAGTCTGGCATGATTTTAGTTGGTCAGATGTCCACTTATCATGAGATCATGAGTGTGGCCAAGTTTCCTGCTGTCCCATAAAGTTTGTTTACAGCCACCGGTCCTGGCTGTCAAGGTTCTGTGCTGTTATTTAGCTCTAATTTACCCCTAAATGTCTTCTAAGAGCCCGGCAAACAGTGGAAGTGTTGGCGACGCTGCTAGACAATAATGACCTCCCATGGTTTGCCAAATTCCCTGGTTCGGCACTGGTCAGGTCCCGATGGTGCCAGGTGAGAGAGGTTCAACCTACATAGCAAATGCCACATTTCCTAGTCCACGTGAAGTTGGGAAGGACTGACAGCAACTCACTAACCTTCATCATCAGCACAATAGTGTTGAGCGCAATCATGGCCATGATAAAATATTCAAAGGGAGGGGACACCACAAACTTCCACATCTTGTACTGAAACGACTGCTTGTTTTGAGGCATGTACCGGGTCAGTGGTTTGGCACTTATGGCGAAGTCTATGCAGGCCCTCTACGTCACACGAATGGGGAAAAAAAATCAAAATAAGCTGGGGTCATCCAAGAGTCAACAAGCACGTATCAAGCAGGTTATATTTGGGAGGGGTATTTTGGGGAGACTGGACTGAGTATGTATATCACATAGTGCCTAGGCACGGAAAAACTCTAAAATACAGCAAAATATAGCACGTGGCACGTGGACCACCAGCAGCTGCGAAACACTCTCTGAAAAATTAAACTATGTTAATTTATATACCAGCCTGCAAAATCACTTCCTTGGGCAGACAACCTGGGGAAGCAAGTTCCATAGATCCATGGATTTTAAGCCATTACATCATTCTAAAGCCAGGGGTCCTCCACTGAGGACAACCTGCCAGTACAATCCTGGTACTTAATTCTAGGAACTGGAACTGGGTGCTTTGAAAAACTGATATTTCTCCCCCACCCTCATTCCCCCAAAAGTGAAATTAATAGCAAAATTAATGAATTAATAATAACATCAATAACATATATGCAAATAAGGAAAATATTCATCTAATAATTCATATGCATTATGTAATGGGAATAATACATTATTATAATTATTAATAATAAACTAACCAGGTAATGTTTTCAGTCAGCTCCAGAAGGCACTGTTGGATTGCACAGTGGAATGTGAATGGCTCGGTTTTTCCACAGGGTTTGCTTTTTTCCTACATGTTAGAACTGGGTGGGAAATTATTTTCCCTCTCCCATGAGAACATTCCATCCCAAATCAGGATGGCAGGTCAAACTCTTTAAAATACTCTCTGACTGTAACCCCTGCAACAATTCATAGTTGAAATCTATTATTTCAATAATTTTGAAACATTTGGATTTTGATCTTATTTATTTTAACTGATATTTTACTAAAATTTCATATAGATTTGAGCTGAACAAATGAAATATTTCATTCTGAAAAAGCCCAGATGAGAAATCAATATTTTCAAATGCTTTTCCAAAGTTTTTTCAAAACAAAAATATTTGTCAGAATGAACATATTCCTGCAGGAAGTTTTGGTTTAATCAACAAATGCCAAACAAGCTCTCGTCATGGGAATCTTCATTAAGGAGGAAACAGGCAGATCCCTTGGAAATTGTGAGTATGCACTTTGGTATCTTATAAAACTCCTTTAACATCAGAGTTTTCACCCAGAAGAAAAAAGAAACCAATGTCAATCTTGTGTTTATTGGTGTAATTTGGCTTACCCATTTCACTTTCTTTTCCTTTTTTGAAAAGTTTTCAGCTGAATGGTTTGGCCATTAAAGTGAAAGACTGTTTGTTGTATACAGGCATATTGAAAGCAGGTAACTACTGTGCCACACACAAGAATTTTTTGGTTTATTTAATTTATGAACAGTTACAATTGGGTCAGGGTTTGTCAATTATTTTTTGTCAAGGTCCAAATTTTTGGTCAAGGTAAAGTCAAGGTTCAGATTCTGGAGAAAATAATAATAATGATGATGATACAAGTAAATAAAAAGATTTCAGGGTCAGTTCAAAAGTGTCTGGTGGTTCTGATTTGGCCTAAAATCTGCCTGTTGACTATTCCTGACCGATTCATTAATTTCTGTCAAACAGAGACTAACAGCAGATTAAAGCTAGTGCTATCCCAAGCAAATAATGTCCAGGTATCAACAACTAACAATTCTTGGCCTCTATCACTGGAGCTAGAGAAGACTGATAGGGTATGTCTACACTAGCCCCCTAGTTCGAACTAGGGAGGCTAGTGTAGGCATTAGAACTTGCAAATGAACCCTGGGATTTAAATATCCCGTGCTTTATTTGCATGTTCCCATCCGGGCGCCATTTTAAAATGCCACTAGTCTGAACTGACTGCCCGTGGCTACACGTGGCAGTCAAACGTTAATTCGAACTAAGTCGTTAGTTCAAATTAACTGTTACACCTCATTCCATCAGGAGTAACAGTTAAATTGAACTAAGGACTTAGTTCGAATTAATGTTTCACTGCCACGTGTAGCCGCGGGCAGTTAATTCGTACTAAGGGTATTTAAAAATGGCGACTGGGCGGGAAGATGCAAATCAAGCGCGGGATATTTAAATCCTGGACTTCATTTGCAACTTTGAATGCCTACACTAGCCTCCCTAGTTCGAACTAGGGGGCTAGTGTAGACATACCCACAGGTACTACTTCTGCTGTTATACATATCTCTTGGTTTCACTTTGCCCACGAAAGCTCATGATTCAGTGCACAAGGGATTGCTGAATTCGTAACACCTGGGTACCTCATTTTTTTCTAGGCTGCATTCTGACATCACTTTATCTCCTTGCTCCTGGAAGGTGATGATAATTAACGCCACAAAGATATTCACAAAGAAGAAGGGGAAGACAACAAAGTACACCACGTAAAAGATGGACATTTCCATTCGATAGCCAGGGCTGGGACCCTGGTCTTCATGTGTAGCATCCACCGAGTGCTTCAACACACTGTAATCAAATGCAGAAAGAGAAGGAAAGCAATGAAATTAAGTGCAGGACAAAGTACCAAGGATGCCTCTAGGTTTACATGGCCTCAGGATCTTTACATGCATAGGATTCAATTCATTGCCATCTTTGCAAATGGGAAGGGTGTATTAATGGGCATCCTTTCTTCTTCCTTCATTTTGGAACAGGGGATCATTTGGCTGTATTATGTCAGCGTATCTGCCAGGATTAATTTTCAGTGATTACAAAGGGAGAGGATACTTTGGGGTCTCAATCTCTTTCTCTGTGTTCATATGGATGAAACAATGGCAGTGAAAGGGCCACGTGACTAAACTGTGAATAGCCTCTTGTGCAGACTCTCCTGAGACTATTTTGGTCATTATTTTACAAGAAGATTTACCAAGTGTTTCTTGTGTGCTTCAGGACAAGGGACTGAGGGTGGGAGGGGGTGCAAGGGCTTGGGGATGGTGGGGGCTCATGGCAGGGGGCTGTGAGGAATACAGGAGTCAATGTTGAGCGGCAAGGAGGGGCTCAGGAAAGGGGTCTGGGAATGTGTGGGGGCACAGGCGTGAGGGTTTAGGGGTGAGGAGGGCTCAGCGTAGGGGGCTGGTGTGGGAGAGGGCTGGAGTGAGGTTCGGGGTAAGGACAGGCTCAGGGCAGAGGGCTGAGGGGGTGGGGGTGGAGGAGCTGTCTCCCTGAAGCTGGCTGTGGCGGGGACTGTGCTGCCCAGGCAGTGTCTCCCCACGGCTGACTGCAATGGGGAACTCGCTGCCTGGGTGAGGGCTCCCTGCGGCTGGGTCTGGCAGGATCCATGCTGGGTGGAGGGTGGCTCCCCAGGCCTGGCAGCCATGGCGTGGGGTGGAGGGCAGTTCCCCGGGGTTTACAGCAGCAGGGACTTCACTTCTCCAGGTGGCAGGCAGGAAACTTACCTGCTCCTGGCTCCCCAATGACATTATAGCAGTCCCAGTTCCATGTCTGGCCCCTTGCTGCCCCCTCGTGGCCATGACAAAATATAATTTCCCTGATAGCAGCTCCTACCCTTTCTGCGTTATGAAAAACAATCACATTCTAGGCACATCCCACTGTCCTGGCACAACCAAACTCTTACCTTGCTTTCAGTTATGATAAGAGGAAACTGCATATCAAATGTGGTGGTCCTAGCTCGTACCACTGAGGAGGAGTTCTTGACCAAACAGATGGAGGGACAGACAGACTTGTTCACTTACAAATTCCCTCAAAATATATAGTAGATTAGAAAGCAGGGCATGGGTTGTCTGCCACATGAAAAGACTTCTAGCTTGCATTTTTAACGTATATTTCCCATTAAAAGCCAAGCAAAATAAAGTTCTAAGATTAATAGTGAAGGCAGCTCTGTGCTAAGCAGTCAGGAATGCTTCCTGCATGGGTCACAATGTTCCTTCTCCCCCATTCTGAAGCTCAGCAACTTTTGTGAACCTCCTAATCTATTTCACACCAAAGAAAGCAGCGCAGAGCTGAAGGCCAGGAGAGAGCAGACAATTCTGTATCAAAAAGTGCCCAGGAAACACCACTTTGCAAGCTCATAGGAATGTGCAGAAAAATACACTCCAGTCTTGCCTAATACCTCTGATTCATTTAACATTTCCGTGAGGAAAACCACAAGCCTGTCTGATAATGAATTTCCCTTCTACTTTGCACAAGTCATTGATTGTTTCTCTCTTCCTGACAGCTAGGAAGAGCGAGCGTTACATCTCAGTGAGACAAATGAACCCGACGAACTCCATGTACTTACGTCGGCCACCCTTCTCCTGTGGACACAGTGAACAGTGTTAACAGAGCCCAAAGCACGTTGTCATAGTGAAACTCATATTTTTGCCACTGCCTGGGCTGTGCCTCCACCTCACTCTTTTCATAATCCAAATACTGGCCCCTAAAAATAAAAGCAGAAGTTTGAAACAGGAGAGGTGACAAGGCTCGGCAGCAACTGATGAATGGGGATTCCTGTAATTATCTGTAGTGTGCAGGAATGTGTAGGATCCCAGTCTTGGACTCATTCTGTCAGGCATTGTACAAACACAGAACAAAAAAAAGGCTCCTGCCCCCAAACTGTATATAACCTCAATCAAAATTAAAAGGGCCAGACAATGTTAATCTCTGCACAAGACACAGCAGAGATGTGACTCCACAGTGCTGGGCACGGGAGGGTAGGACCCTGTCCCTAGGTCTGCCAATCACAGGGGAAAATAAATAAAAGCTTGTCTTTGCCACTACATTGATGCAGTGGCCTCGCGTTAGCCCCTCTGGTGAAGATGCGCTATGCCAATGGGAGAGCGCTCGCCTGTCAACATAATTACTCCACCTCAATGAGAGGCAGAAGCAATGTTGACAGGAGAGCATCTCCTGCCAGCATAGCGGGAGGGAAGGGGCATATTCTGCTTTAAACTGATGTAAGTTACATATCTGGGGCTCCGTGTGGATTTTTCACACCCCTGAGCAACATAACTTACATCCATTTAAGTGTAGTGTGGACACGCCCTAAGAAAATACTTACCGTTAAGAAGACATTGTCAATTATTTTAAGCTTGGAATAATCTGATCCATCTCAAACTGTTACAATCTAGTGCAGCATGTCCTTTTGGTTCTAAATATCTGTTTGAACACAAATTCACCACACAGCCAACGAAAAAAAGGAGACACAAACCCCAGAAATACTGCTTACATCTGGCCTCATAATATATTTAATCTGCTGCTATAGATTCAGCAGCCAGCAGAGAAAATATAGAGAGGGTAACCTACATATCACTGTTCCAAGACCTATTGCTGACACTGATGATTGTCATCATCTGGGAATGTCTTCAGTAATGATAGCAGCAAGCAAATATGAGCCATGCTAGTGTGTGTTGCATATAAACAACATAAAACACTGTTAAAGGGGAAAGGACAAAAGAGACTGGAAACATGGGGCTTCTATCATGATTTTGCCAACAATGGCATGCTATTTTTCAAATACTTGATACTGCTCTGTTAACTTCTTTTTAACCTCTTACTCATCAATTGCAATTTTCAAATAAAAGAGCTTCAAGGGAAAAAAAATCTATTTTAAAAATCTGAAAGGCAGGTAGTAAATTAGCTACACAGGCCTTGATCCTTTAAACACTTAAGTGTGTGCTTTACTTTAAGCACATGATTAGTTTGAATCAAGTCACTGCAACTACACAGACTTAATTAAGTATTTGAGTTTACAGGATCTGAGACCTGGTCTATGCTAGGGAGTTATTTTTATATAATAAGCGGAGCGTCTGCACTACCAAGCCTGTTATTTTGAACAGGGTGGTTTTTTTGAAATCTGTACTCCTGTATTCCTCAGGGAATAACTCTTATTTTGAAATAGTTATTTTAAAATAGTATTAGTGTGGACGTTCTGCCGCTGCTATTTCGAAATAACGACTCCTCAGAATAATTCGAAGTAATTACTCCCCAGTGCTTCCTGGGGCTCTAAGTCGAGGTAGTGGGTCCACATTAAGAAAGCCTGCCTTGGACTAATTTCGAGGCTCCCCTGTAGTGGGGACATGCTATTTTGATTTTGTTATTTCAGGAGTTATTAATTTGAATTTAGTTATTTTGAAATAATTTTCTACGGTAGCCATGCCTTAGACATTTCACCTATTGAAAAACAAAGGGTAAAATTAGGTATAACTCTGTTAAAGTAGCACTCTTATTCAATGGAGCTGCACTAGGATCACTTGAGCCCAGAATGATGCAACTTTAAGTCACACACAGTTAGATGAGTTATCACCATGAAGGGAACTCTGGAAGGGATCTTGCAAGCAATTCAGTACTGGCTTCCAACATCCCCTGCCATCCTTCAAATACCTGCAGTCCTTCTCTAGCTCCTTGGACTCATCCGTGCAGTAGAAGAATTTGCCTTTGAAGAGTTGCACAGCAATGACAGCAAAGATGAACATGAAGAGCATGTAAACAATCAGAATATTGAGGACATTCTTCAGAGAATTCACAACGCAGTCAAAGACAGCCTATGGTGGTGGGAGGACAGAGATCTGTCAAGAAAAAGTTTTGTTAACTTGCACACTAGATGTTTCAAATTCTGAGTTCTGCTAACACCTACTTACTGCAGCTCCATTCTTTTTCCTTGTTGCAAGAGTTTAAACCATATGACTTAAATTCTGTGATACTGCCCATAAAAATGGAAAATATACCGTATTTTCCAGTGTATAAGATGACTTTTTATGCTAAAAAACATCTCCCAAAAATCGGGGGTCGTCTTATATGCCGGGTATACAGGCAGTCCCCAACTTGCAGGTTCGAACGGGGCTTTTCTCGCCCCGGAGGACACAGACTGCGGGACCTCGCGGTCCCGCCGCCCGTGTACTCCGGGGCGAGAAAGGCTGCTCCGCGTCTCCCTGGTCTGCTCCACGTCTCCCTGGTCCCTTTCCGGCGTATAAGGCGACTGGGCGTATAAGACGACCCCCTAATTTTCTAGTTAAAAGATAGGTTTTCGTCTTATACTCGCCGCCGCGCCTTTGAGGCTTTGCCAGAGCAAAGCCTCAGAAGCGCGGCACCCTGCCGCCGCTTCGGCTTTGCTCCCGGTGCCCCTGGTCTGCTGGGGACCGTCTCCAGCAGACCAGGGACACTGGGAGCAAAGCCAGGGAGGCGGAGGGGCGCTGGGGTGCTGCCTGTTGGCCTCTTAAGGGGGGGTAGTCTTATACGGCAAGTATAAGACGAAAACCTATCTTTTAACTAGAAAATTAGGGGGTCGTCTTATACGCCCAGTCGCTTATACGCCGGAAAATACGGTAATAACCATTTATATATGTAAATATTAGTCCCAAGCAAATATTGTTATAACTGGATGAATAACTGAAAAAAATGTATATGCAAATGATATATTCAATGACGGATAGAAAAAGACTTGTCAAATAAATTACTTGTTAAATATTATTTGAACTGTTTGGATAATAAGAAATAATATTTCATGACAAAATACCAAAACGCTTTGAATAAATAATTTGTGGCAAATAATTCAACCAGTGTTATCTATTCAATAATTTTGTTGGCAAATGTAGCTTGTGAACTGTCTGCAAACAGTTTTTGCATGTATTTGTTTTATGGTATTTGTTGCCAAATCATTTCTGTAAATAGTTGTTGGCTTACAGAATATTCCGGAGCAGGTCGTGGTGATAATTCCACGGAAAGAATTCTGAGTGGGTTTGGTTAATTCTGTTTGAGCACATACAACATTTGGTTGGGTTTTGCTTTTGTGAAGGCAAATTTTGGAATGTGATAAAAATGTGCCAAGCTATTACATGGGGGGTCTTTTTAGCTCAGTAAAACTGAAAAATTAACATCAATTACAATGAAATCATAGGTCATATGTTACCCACTTTGGGTTTACACAAGAAATTTTGCCCACAGAACCGCCTGCAAGTCCCCAACAAAGAAGAACTTTTTCCTGTTATTTGCCAACCTTTAACTTGGGCAGACGCTTTATGGTCTTCAAGGGTCTTAGGACTCGCAGGACTCGCAGGGACTTGATTGTGTTGATGTCTTTGCCTTTGCTTCCTCTGAAAGGGGAATGAAATAAGAACAAAGGGAAGGAGTTTGCTTCTAGGAGGGCTCATTATAAAAGCCTGCAAATACTCAGATTTTTCAGATCAGAAGCCAAATTCTTCCCCTTGAATGCTCACATGGGGAGTTACAGATGAGTGTTCACTCGAGAAGCATAAAGTACAGAAGGGAAGCTGAGGGCAAAACTTGGCCCTGAGAAAGTTTAATAGCTTGTGTTCTCCAACCCAGCATCGCTCCCCAGCGAGTCAGACTCTGCCCTCATACTCAGAAACCTCCCCTTCCTCTCACCAGTAGGAGGGCAGGCGAGGACCTCTGGTCACAGCAGGAAGGAGAGAAGCCAGAGCACATTAGCATAGCTAAGTCACATTTGCTCCACCCAAAAGATTTCTGGCCTGGGTGGACCTGCATCACCGCCTCTTCCCACAAAGCCAGATCATTTGTTGACACACCTCCCATCCAAATTGTCAGTGCCACTCTCTTAACAGCCTGGCGATAATGTTTCCCTTCATAAAACAGGCGGCAAATAGAAGGAAATGGAGCCTTTGGTGGGTAGATGGACAGAACACCCTATCAGGGCAGAATAAGCTCTCCATTTCTGCAGTGTGTACAGCCATACTATTGCTCTCAGGTCTCTTTTAGAGGACATGCTACCAAGACCATGCTGAGCCATGTAATATGCAGGCATATTACATGCCTGAAACAATAACAGAGTAACTTTCCATGTCATGCATGCAGAGGTTGGAGGTCACTTCTCTTTTACAAAAACCATATGCAAAAGGTTAATAATTTATGCAAATAATACTGTTCATTTAGCTACCATTATGGGAAATGGGGGGTGATGGTGGAAACAGAGCTCCTTTTCCCCCACGCCCCTAAAATAAAAAAGTAGGGCTTTTTCTGAAGAGATGCAACTAGGCCTTTTGGCAATCAGATAGTACAACAGTGCAGTTCAGCTTCATTTAGTGTGGCATGAGAATGAGATGGAAGACTGTTGATGGAGCTGAACTTGACTACAGGTATGGGTTCAAAGGAGGATCTAGACATAAACTTGTATTACAGCAACAAATGATATGAATGAACAATGCTTTGAGCCGGCTCTCTGGCCCGGCCCTGCTCTGCTCCCCCTCCCACACATTCAGTATCCCTTCCCCACTGGGAAAATGTATCAAGAACAAACACAATGAAGCCAAGAGATGCAGAACTGTACAGCACGGGCAGTGTTGAATTCAAGTTCCTCCACACTGCCTCACCAGTAAGGTGATGGCACTCTGGAGGAACCACATGGAGGGGGACGACGACAGCTTCAACTCTTTGGCTCACTCAAGCCACTGACCCCACCTCACAGTGGCGATGGTGGGTTTGGTGAATTGAATCCACTAGTAAAGAGAAATCAACAAGTCATGTCACACCGCCAGCTGATCAGAGAGTAACAATTTCTGGTTACTACTATACAGAGTGGATTTGTACCAGAGGTGAATATGCCCATGTCTCATTTGCAATCTTTCTATTTAGTGTGACAGTCTGTATCCCCATGTTCATTTTTGCTACAAGACTATGATAAATGTGGTACAAACTGTGCTTTATGTTGTATTATTTGAAAACGGATAATCTGCTGAACATTATTGTCTTGGTAAAATATGTGTGGCAACATTGTATACAAAGTTATGAAATTTCACGGTCTAAAACATATTCCAAGTTTAGAGAAGTAGGCACAAACCAGTTGCTCAGTGACAAAAGGCAAATTAATGCCTTGGCCAGGTGTCAGCAAATCAAATAGACCAGCATCTGGTTAAGCAGCCATTCTTTGGCAGAATAAAGGATGAGAGTGAGAAATTTGCATGTTGGCAAAGAAACAACTGGACGTTCCCATTTGATAGATGTGCTGTCACCTGAACCCCAGCTGGAGATGACTCTCAAATAAGAGAAATGCCACAAGAAAGGGGAGCAAATTCCCCAGATTATCTCTCTGCGTTCATCTTCACGCACAGCATTAACAGCACTTGAAAAGATAAAAGAAAGATCATTGAGCTGTGGGGAGATTCTGACTGTAAGGTTTAGCTAGTAAGATTTCTATAGTACGTGGTAAGAGAGACTTTTACTTTGAATTCACTTAGCTTGTTAAATTAGGGATTTGTTTTCATTTTATTTCTTTGTCACCAATTCTGATTTCTATGCCTCATTACTTTGTAGTAGTTAAACTAATCTTGTTTTCTCTAAACCAGTGTGTTTGCATTGAAAGTGTTTGGGAAATTTGTGCATATCATTTTTTATTAATGAAATGACGGACTTTCACTGAGCTTGTATTGTCTAGGAGGGTGCCAGGCAGTACAAGATATGAAAGTTTGGGGCTGGGAATTTACTGGTGTCACTCTGTAATATTATTCATGGCTGACTGGCTACACAGCCCATTCACTATTGCTGGGAGTAATTTACCTGCTGAAGGCTGTGTGTGGGCAACTGAGGAATAGCTGCTCTCACAGTGAAGCAGTGTAAAAAGCACCCCAGGTTGAAGAATTGAGGGAACACAGATGTTCAACAGTCCGGACTGTACCCTGGGGAATGCCACAGCCAACACTTCTCTTCATTTACAGCCCGAGACAGATGGAATATTCAGAATGAAACCGGGGAGGTTTCATCTTTACAGGGAGTCTATGGTGTTGAGCTCCATGACTATAGAGAGGGAGGGGGAGTGGTTAGGGTCATAGAAGGAAGAGGACAGCTCATCTGAGAGTTTTTCCACTGATATTTTAGAATCACTTTCATCAGACATATCCTGAGTTTGAGCCGGCTCTAATTCACATTGCTATAAAGCAGAAAAGTAGCACCACTGAAGTCAATGGAATTATATTACCATAAAACTGGTGCGAGGAGACTAGACTCATTCGGGTCGGAAATCCAAGGTATGACGGGAAGGGATTGTCTACTTACGGGAGATTGTTCTCACTACAAAGTGAGAATGCCGGTATCGATCCTTCCGCTCTCTTGTGGACTAAGGCAGCAGTTTTCTTACCACCCTCCTGCTCTTCCTCCCTCCCTAGCTGGGGGAACTGCAGGGCAGGTCTGGAAGCTTTTCCCCGCCTCCAGGTACATGCCCCACCTCCACCCGCCTCACACCCTGTCTCCATCCCCGCGCCCTCCATGGAACGCAAACTTCCTTAACTTGGCATTCCAGGGTTGTCGGATTAAAGAGGTTCAAGAGTATTGCAATGCATTCCAGCTTAACCCATTGTACATAAGTAACACTAGACAGGGCTGTTACTTTTAAACAAATGGGAGCCGGGGGCGAGGGGCTCCAAGTGCAGGAGGGGGGGCTCAGGACTACAGTAGAGGCTTGTAATGTGGGGGAGGGGAAGATGAGGGTTCTGGCTGTGGACGCAGGCTCAGGGGTGGGGCCAGGGATGGGGAGTTTGGGGTGCAGACAGGCTGCTCCAGGTCTGAGGCCAGGAGACTTATCCCAGCCATCTCTCTGCCAGCAGCAGCTAGCTCCGGGAGAAGAGCTTTTTTCTCCCTGCCGGCAGGCAGCACTGAGCTCTGGGAGGAGACGCCCTCTCTCTCCACCAGCAGCGGTGAGCTCTGGGGCTGGAGGAGAAGTTGCAGTGGCCTTGAAACCTCAGTTTGCTCCCCTCCCCAGACCCCTCCCACCGCCTAGCTCTTTCCTCTCCAGGTCCCTGGCTGCACAGCTCGTTAGAGCTGTTGTACAGCAGCAATCATTAGAATTCCAATCAGCAAGGGCACCCAGTGCCTGACAGTCCGTGACCCAGAACTGGCTTGTGACCCATACTTTGAAAACCACTGGTTTATGGCACTGAGGAAGCTGGTCTATGATTGACTCATAAGGGGATTTATGGCTTTAACGCCAACGTATTTGCTTCTGGGAGCCCCTCTGCACAGACAGGAGGAGAGGTCTTGGAGAGCCCATCTACAGACCAGTCTTTTCTCAAACGCCGCCAGGCTTCCCTGTCAATCGCCACGCACATTTTTTTTCTTCATTTGAAAATGGACAGCAGAAGCCCAAAGCTTTTCTATGGAGGTGCATTACCCCGGAGAAGTGATTGATTCAGTCTGCTAATCACTGCTCTTTGAGGATGGGGATGGTGTCCGATGGAGTTGTGACCTGAAGATGACCTCGGTGAAGCTTGGAAGCGTGTCTCTTCCACACACAGAAGTTGGTGCAATCAAAAAACGAGATCATCTCACTCAGGGGAAGCAACAAATGTGCCGGGTCCCTGGGCAAGCTGGGTGGGGGCAGGGTGCCTGGCTCCATGCTTCTGGAAGGGGCGGGACTTTGGGTGGAAGGGGCGGGGATAGAGCAGCCAGCCTCAGCACGGCCAGGAGCGCACCCCCCCACCCCTTCAGCCCATAGAGCTGCCCTGAGTGTGCCACTCTGCCCCCCCATTCCCGCCAGCCCTCAGAGCTGCCTGGAGAGCACAGTGTGGTGCTCCAGCAGCGATTTAAAGGGTCCAAGGCTCTGGCTGCCACTGCTACCAAGAGCCCATGGCCCTTCTGAATCACTGGGCCCCAGGGCAGTTGTCCTCCCCCCATTGGTGGGCCTGACCTCACCCAACCTGTCTCTCCCGATTACACATTTTATGACTTTTAGGCTTTGTCTCTGCTATTCAGCTGGTAAAAGATTGAGCTCCAGCTGAGCTTAAGCATGGTCCTTGCTAGCAGGGTTTTTCTGAGCGCCACATTGCTGAAAAAATCGGCTGGCCTGCACCACACTGACTATTCCCTCTAGGCAGGCTGGTACCCAAACGCCAGGGGAAAGGAATCCCTTTGTGTGCTGGTCAGAGAAGCCATGTGAAGGAGAGTGGAAAGCCGAGACGACAAGCTAACCGTTTGGCTTAAGGGATTCTCGAGAAAGTTCCCATGGGCTTCTCAAAGGCAGCAGGAAAAGTTGACAGTTCTTATATTATGTCTGATTTGTAAGCAGTTTTTTCCACGGGCAATCACAAAGTTTTAGCATTGTGCATGCAGTTCATCAGCTCCTGTCATTGTCTATGACGACGGAGGCAGTAGCCTGTGTTGTGATAAATGGCACGGCTAATAGGAAAATTGGTGGCAAATGCAAAAAAAAAAATGCAGTGCTTGTCTGTTCCCCCCGCTCCGCCTACAGTGCTAAGCCCTGATCTGGTTGCTGTTGAAATCAGTGGCACAAACCCTTTAGGTTCAACGGGAGCAGGAGGGGGTTTAATTTTTCTTCCTGCAGAAGGATGCCTGAGGACCCTGAAGTGTAACCTGAGAGGAGGCAGGGAATCGACAGACAACTCAATTGCAGCCACGAGGGAATCGTTTCTGTGGTTACAGAGACAACAGTGTCCTCATTTGTGAAGGATGCAGAGCCTCTGCGGGGTAGAGCAACATTAGCAAGGTGTAGCCAAATTCTGCTCCACTGAGGTCTGCACTGGCAAGTTGCCAGGTGTCGGAGGTTCAGAACGAATTTGCAGGAACTGAAGCAAGCTGCAGTCTGTTTCATCTTCAGTACAGAGGGCTGGCCTCCAGAAAAGCTAGGAAAGCTCTTCTTTCCAAACCTTGGTTTTGTGGAGGCTGTAGGAAGATGGTAAATGGGCAGATCAGTTCTACACATCCCACTGCAAAGCTGTCTTGGGGGAACTGGAATAAAATTCAATATTATTAGCTGATCACTTTTGCCTTCAATGCTTAATGTAAGATCATCCACACTGAAAGCGCGTAAATGTGTTTTGAATATGGGCTAATGACACAGTAAGAATGATCATGCATCTGACGAAGTGGGTCTTTGCCCATGAAAGCTTATGCTCCTACACTTCAGTTAGTCTATAAGGTGCCACAGGACTCCTCGCCACTTTTTAAGAATGATCAACTATCCAAAATAAAGGACACAATTCCCATTTACACTAAGACCACTTTATACTGCTCTGGTAGCATAAGACGATCTTAAAATGAGCATCACTGTAATTTACTCTCCCTTTAAGCCCCTTTACATTGTTAGAGCAGTGACTTTAGTGTAAATGAGACTCAGACCCAAAGGTTTTGAGCAGTACTTTTGGATTGCTTTACATATGTTTACATCGCCAGATGTCCGCAAGTAAAAATCACATTACAGTCAGTACATAACTGCCAGCATAACCTAGAGGAAACTTTTCACGTCTTTCTGCCGAGTTTCCTTTTTCAGGTGTGCAAGCACACAAAAAATACACACAGGCATTTAACTGCTCAGCCTTCTTTTCTATTTGGAAGACAGAGCATTTAGATAGAAGAAAGAATCAAAAACAAGTCGTTCCACAGCCCAGTTTTGTTTTCTGAAACAGGATGCGTGAACAGCAAACAAAATGAGATTCAAATGTCTCCTGAGAAGAGGAGAGATATTAGGCACCTGTGGGTGTGATCTACACAATGCTCATCTCTATAAACAAAGATTGAGCGCTCTCGGTATACAGAAACAAGAACTGGCTTTTGGCAGCCCACCCACACTGCAAAGCACAGCAAACAGATGGATCTATTTCTACAGGTCTTGCTGTAGCTGGGAAATAATGAAATGCAGGCAGAGAGGAACTATTGTGGAGCACCCTGTATCTAAACATCAAGAAACATGAACTCTGGCAAACTAGAAATCCATTGATTACTTAGACCGTGCAGTTACACAGCCACATTCCAGAGCCCTAATGGAACGGGCAGAATTCCTTATTACAGTGAATAAGAAGCAAAATTTAAAATTTGAAACTGTGCTTTGAACAGGAGAAAGCTAGTGGATGGTTGATCTAAGGGTGGGAGGGCGTTATGTCTGTAGAACAGTGAGTCCATAATCTTCAGGTGAGAGAGATCTTGCTGTAAACTGGAAATCCAGTAGGCTGCATCTACCACCAATTTATAACCACATATTAAGTGACTGCATTCCTGGTGAGAGGTAGAAAGTTAAAAGACATGGGGCTTAATCAACAAGTATGGTGATTACTCCCTCCAGCATCATCACCAGTCTTCTTAATATAAGGAATATACTTCAAAACTGTTCTGTGATGAGAACAGGAGGCATGCTAAACCCCTAATAAAGGTTTTCAAGATTTAAAACTCGGTGTTACGCAGATTCTCGTGACTAACAATGAGGATGGGGGTTTCAAAAGCTCCTAAGTGTATTAAGTGCATGAATTACATTGAAAACTATGTAGGTGCTGATTTCCTGATAAAAAAATAAGACTCTCCCTACAAGAGAGATGGAATTTTAAAGGATCCAGGTCTGTAGGTGATAGATCAATGCAAGTGATATCCTGATGAAACATTCCCGCTTTCGGCAGCTCCACTACCTAACTATCTGTAAAAGGACAAGATTTTTTATTTTTCAATGGAGGGCTTTTTCCAGATTTGATTTGTAAATTGCCTTAGAAAACACAAATGGAAAAGGTCACTTAATGGATCGACACCAGGATGGATTTCACCACAAAAGTCCAACTACTGTCTAATGTTCCCTGCCCAAACACAAAGTGAGTGTGGGAGAAAGAGGAGACGGAGTTGATCTTTGCAGCAGTATGAACTTTGCAGATCAGCAGAGTATGACAGAAAATGGACAGAACATAGAAATCCCAAAGATAGATAGATAGATAGATAGATAGATAGATGGATAGATAGATAGATAGATAGATAGATGGATAGATAGATAGATAGATAGATAGATAGATAGATAGATAGATAGATAGATAGATAGATAGATAGATAGATAGATAGATAGATAGATAGATAGATAGATAGATAGATAGATAGATAGATAGATAGATAGATAGATAGATAGATAGATAGATAGATAGATAGATAGATAGATAGATAGATAGATAGATAGATAGATAGATAGATAGATAGATAGATAGATAGATAGATAGATAGATAGATAGATAGATAGATAGATAGATAGATAGATAGATAGATAGATAGATAGATAGATAGATAGATAGATAGATAGATAGATAGATAGATAGATAGATAGATAGATAGATAGATAGATAGATAGATAGATAGATAGATAGATAGATAGATAGATAGATAGATAGATAGATAGATAGATAGATAGATAGATAGATAGATAGATAGATAGATAGATAGATAGATAGATAGATAGATAGATAGATAGATAGATAGATAGATAGATAGATAGATAGATAGATAGATAGATAGATAGATAGATAGATAGATAGATAGATAGAAAGTGTGTGTGTAGGGGGGAAGGAACTGGCCTGTGTGTTTATGCTGCCTCAATTTGATTGTATCGGGCCAGCTCTGGTTGCCCTGTAGTAGAGAGCTGTTCATACACTGAAACTATTAAAAATACTGAAAGAGATCTTGTAAGTTATTTTTCTTTAATAAATAAACGATCTGTTAAAAAATCGATAGCTCTTTCAAATGGAGGCTTCTTGTTTCTCTTGCTCCTGCAGGAACTCTGATTTCATGTACACGGGTCTCCTAAAGGATTCTCATCAAATATTCATGGAGGGGTAGAGCCACCATCTCCTGTGATCGCCTGAAATCCCCAAGGCAGAACGTGAACTGCTCCGTTTAAGGGGGAATGAGGATTCAGTTCTGCCTGAGTATGATTTTACCCACTTCCAGCATCAAAAAGGGAAGAAAGAAAAGAGCACCCTGCATCTTGGATTGTATCACAAAACACCTGTCCCTTTCATTCTATCTCCTCGTTTCCTTCTGCAGGGAGACTGATTAGAATTCCTGCCCTCCTCTCTTACTCTTGAAAACGAGACAAGAAGATGGCACAGTCTGTCTTCTGGATGAAGGAGCTGTTTGTGGTCCTGAAAAGGAAGCTTCTGTTTCCTACAGACATACCTGAGATCTCCAGACAAAAAGGTTAAAGATCATTCTTGCAACATCTTTCCTTTGCAGCGCCCTCAAAACCCCATGTCACTTAGTTTCACTCGATTATCAATTGCATCGATTCAGAGTTGATAATGGGCTTGATTCTTATGGACACAGAAAGTTATGCATGTAACTTCCATTACCCACTGATGGAGTTTACATACACAACCCCCTCCATGAGACTAAATCCTCATTCTTATACCTAGTTTATTATTTTTATGTACACTGTATATCACACGTGAAGTCACTCCCCCAAATCTTTCACACTGTAGCTGGATACATATAAATTTGCTTATTCTAATGTGTGAATTTGTTAAACATAGTAACTGCAACCTGGGTTTCTTCTTCTGGTTCAAGTGATCTGGGACAAATGTGAGCTGTTAAGAGGAAGGGGATGTCATTGAATAATGGAGAGTGAAAGGACAAAGGAGTCAATACAATGGGTGTAACATGGATAATTTCCACAGGTGAGTGTGTAAACTCGGTCGAGCATACACACATTTCACAGGCATAACAATGCAGCAAGAGAGCAATAACGCATTACCCCATGAAACTCCTAGAGAGAGATTCCAGCAACAGGAAGACAAAGAAAGAGCACAAAGTCAATGACAGACAGAAACAGAGGTATTTACAATATACCCAGTTCACAAAAAGACGCGTGCTCCCTCCCGCCATGCCGAACTCAATGCTCATAAAATATTCATGCATACATTTGCCAGCGCCAGAGTAATCCTTCCACTGTCAAACAGACAGTATTACTATACTTCCAGCTTATTGTCACTTGGGGAGGAAATAATATTCATTGTTCAGCAAATTAGGGTAAATTCCTTCACTTTAAACAAGCCATGCAAAATTCTATACTTTTTTGATTGATGCACAAGGAGTGTATTTCTAGTTCCCCTCCCACTTAAAAGCATCATTTGATTGAGAAGCAGAAGTCATGCCTAGGGCTGGCCAATTTTCAGGACTAATTTGCAAGGCTGTTTTAAGCCCCTCTACTTCCATTTCTTTAGAAACAACAATATACAGCCCAACGTGCATGTCATTTTTATCTCCAGCACAGGGAGATGCTTCATCTTGAAAGAAAGATATATCATTTTTTGTTATTATTCTTCGGGTGCAAGCATCTCTTTGGGGCCCACCTTGAAGAATCAATGGAGTTACAATCTGAAGAATTATAAGCAGGAGATGGTGGACTGGTGAAGCCTATGAAATCTCACAGAAGTGACTCATCATTTATATTAACCAACTGATGCTATTGCAATATTCCAGGAGACAATGTTTGTGAATGATCTGGTTGATTGAGTATTCCACTGACATGCCCATATGGCAAAACGTTAATACAGATCACCACTATCGAACAACAGATCAAGAACGTTAATTTGGTGAAATAAATGGGGTTAGCTGAGAGAGAGTCATTCAACTGGCTTACTGCAGACTGGAATCAGTAAAGATTGCAATAAAGAATGCTTACAAGATTGTTGCAAGCTCTACCTTTATTTGTGCTTTAGCATTTGGTAGCAAAAACACCCAACATGGGAGCAACAGAATCACCCATCTCATTTACCAAATCAAATTCTTTTCTACTGATAAACAAAACTCCAAACCAAGTGGGCCTTTGGTTTGGAAAAATAACCAAGAGTTTGGATGTTTATCCGCATTTCATCTGAACTATCTGAACCCAGTTAGCCCATACATTCTGAAAGTATTGTTTCTCTTGTGGGACTTTAGCATTTACAGTCCCAGCTGGAATACAGAAGTCTGGCTACCACATGAACAGCAGCAGCAAAAGTTGAAAAATCTTCAGACTCTTCTAAACCACAAAAAAAAAAAGTTTGATTCAGTTCAGCTCAGGGAGAAGGTTTGGGATGGTTCTAGTTTTATCCATTTAATGCCGGCAAATATAATAGTTTGATCATATTCTGAAATCTAACCACTTCTAGGAAAGTCCTTGTCATCACAGTAACATTAAAATAAATCTAGAGCAGGGGAGGGCAAAATCCGGCCCGCCAAGTATTTCTCTTCAGCCTGCCCAGCTGTCTAGGCTTACAGCCATCAGTGTGTGTTTGGCTGCCCCTCCCTTGCTCTGTCTTGCAGCTGAGCTGCTCCCAGGATTCTCCTGCTAGCTGTGCAGGTGGAGGTGGGGTGCAGTGGGGAGGGGAGTGCTGAAATCTGGGTGTCACCTGCCACTGTACCCCCATCTCTGCAGAATAGGGGTTGGTGAGAGGGAGACAGACAGCAGAGCTGCTCCAATTGGAAGAATGGATGGTAAGTGATTCAGAGGAGGACCTGTCTTCAGTGTCAGGGCTCTGTTTCTAAGATTTCAGTGCTCATGCGCTCTCTCTATCTCTCTCACACACACACACACACACACACTTCTTCCAAAACCCCATCTCTGCAGGGCAGGGGAGGGGGGAGACAACAGACCAGGACAGCTTCCCCTGTATTAGAGGCTATGTCTAGACTATGGGGTTTTTGTGGGATACCAGAGGTGGAAGAGCAAACGCACTCTTTCGGGGAGCCTTGTATACCTCGTTTCATGAGGCATAAGGGCTCCGCTGAAAGATGAGGCTTTTCTGCCATTTGGCCTGTCTAGACAGGGCCAAATGGCAGAAAACCCCCTTCCAAAAAAAAAAGCGGAAAAAGCTACACAAAATGCGCATTTTGCATAGCTTTTTCTGCAAAAATGCCGCAGTTTAGACCCAGCCAAAGAGCCAGAGCATGGCTTCTCTCAGAAACTTACCCAGCAGCACCCAGCATACACACACAGTGTCACTGTCGCACACACCCAGTCTGTGCTATACTATCTCTGTGCCACACACAGTCACTGTCACACACACACTACCACACACACTCTCCTCAGTCTCTGCCACATGAAAACAGTATCTCTTTCACACATATTCTCCATCTTTCTTCCTCTCTCTTTGTAGCCTCCAGACCCGCCCCGTCTGCCCAAGGCTCTGCCCCTTCTGAGGGGCCCAGAGTTGGCCCATGATCATGTACCAAAATTCATATAGTGGCCTCCTTGCAAAAATTATTGCCCACCTCTGCTCTAGAGGCTGAAATGGTCTAATTCTGTGATTTAAGACAAGTTTCCAATACTCCCTCCCTGGGGGAAGAGAGAAAAGCCGGCTGTCATATCTTAACCAATTTAAAAATAAATCCCACAATGCAAACTCTGTGCCAGTGTTTTCAGTCTCAATGGCTGAGGTCGCATCAACTTGGATATGGATTTTGTTTTTTGAACAGCTCTAAAAGGCTGACTTCATGGACACAACAGAGAAGGAACTCTAAAACTACAGAATTAAAAAGAACCCTGGGCCAGATTCTCTGGGATGCTCTGGAAACTTTATGTAGCTCCAGTGGCGCAAAGCAACCATAAACCCCTCTTAACTTTAGGGCGAGCTGACGGTGGCTTTGCATTGTCAGAGTGATGCAAATCAACCAAAGAGTACCAATAAATCTGGCCTTCTGTTTAGAAATGGTTCTCCTTCTGTAACATATTAGGACAGACTTGCGTATTTCCACTTGCCCAGTTGCCTGGAGTAAATGCATTCTTTGGATTGGCAAGTAAAATCCTGTTAGAACTTGTCTGTGCGCACATCACCAGACGTCAATGGTGTAAATCTACCCTGCATTAGCCATGCATTACATGTCCAGATGGACGTGGCTGCTGCTGTGCACTACAAGGTCCCTGGTGTATTTTACTCCTACTTTAAATTCACCTCCAGGTCAATATCTGGAATTTCAGAGGTGTACGGAAAACCCTCTGAATGCAACAGGTCAACTAGGCAGTACTACACGGGGGAAGATGTCCTCCCCCACTCCCCCTGCGATCAGCCTGTGTGCTGAAGTGTGGGTATTTCTCTTCCTGTGTTCTTTACTAATAAGGACATTTGAATGGAAAGAGGATCTTGGTTTCTTAACAATTCAGCTGTGTCTGCTGCTCGTTCCTCACTTGATACCAAAAAGCTCTGTGAAATCCCAGTAGGTTGTTCGGGAAATCATACTGATGTCAGAAAACAGAGGAGAGTGACTTGAGGTAATGAATAAGCAGCAAGGCAAGAGGAACGCTGTAGAAACTTGGAAATTATTGTTCAGGAGAGAGAGTGCGGGGAGACAAATACAGAAGATGCACAAAGCAGAAGCTGCAGTGATTCCAAAAGCAATGTTTTTCCAGATTTGGGGGGAAAGATATATATTACTTGATGAAAAATGCATATTTTCTTAAACAGCTCAATCTCTTGCGATTATTATTTTCGTCAATCAGGGCAGCTTAAAAATACTCAGAGCTGCCAGAAATGTTTGTAATGAGCCCTTAGAACTCAGGAAAGGCTGCCAATATGACACAAACGGGGAGCCAGGCTCGAGGGAGTGGAAGCTGGAATCAAAATGCATCGAGTTGAAGTTTTGATGAACTCTAGAACAGTGAATCTAGGTTGACATGATGGGAAATTCTTTTTCCTACTGAATATATGGGCATGAAAAACACATCACAGACTGTTAAATCTTGTTGTCCCCTCCCCCTCCCAAAATCAGGCCTTTTGAGTGCTTTTAACCTACACTTATACAGATTTGACAGGGGAGACCAGCATTTCTCAAATTGAGTGTCCTGATCCAAGAGGGCATCAGCTGTGCAGAGGTGAGGGTGGCAATACAATATCCTGCCACCATTACTTCTGCACTGCTGCCTGGAGAGCTGGGTGGCCAGGGAGTGGCAGCTGCTGCCTGAGGACCCAGCTGTGCAGGCAGCAATGCAGAACTAAGGGCAGCAATCAGTGTCCCTGTAAGCTGTGCACTTGGGCATCTGCTCAGGAGAGATTCAAATGATGCCCAGCTGATTAGCAGAGCACCCACAGCTAGGTTTTTTGTGTCTGCTGGTGGTGCACATTCACATAGGTCTTGGTGTACATAAAATGTATTCCACACATGGATGTAAAAATTCCACACATGGTTGTAAACGACTGGCAGGAACATTGGTGGCAATACAATACTATGCCACCCTTACTTTTGCACTGCTGCTGGCAGCAGCTTTGCCTTCAGCGCTGGGCTTCTGGCCAGTATCTGCTGCTCTCCAGGGCTGTGTCTACATTGGCAAGATCTTGCCACCTGTCTACACTGGCCGCGAGTATTTGCGCAAGAACACTGACGTTCTAATGTAGGAAATCAGTGCTTCTTGTGCAAATACTCTGACACTCCCGCTCAGGGATAAGCTCTCTTGCGCAAATGTTGTTGCGCAAGAGGCCAGTGTAGACAGGCAACGTTAATTTCTTGTGCAAGAAAGCCAGATGGCTAAAATGGCCATTGGAGCTTTCTTGCTCAAGAGAGCGTCTACACTGGCACGGATGCTTTTGCGCAAAAGCACATCTCTTGCGCAAAAGCACACGCCAGTGTAGACACTCTCTTGTGCAAATACTTTAACGCAAAAACTTTTGCGTTAAAAGTATTTGCGCAAAATCATGCCAGTGTAGATGAAGCCCAGCTGTTCTGAAGGCAGCACCACTGCAAGAAGCAGTGCAGAAGTAAGGGCAGCAGTACCACAACACTCTCTACAATCACCATGCAATCCCCTACAGCTCCTTTATGGGTCAGGACCTTTCAAATTACAATATGACATTTCAGTTATAAATAGCTGAAATAACAAAATTTACAATTTTTTAAAAGCCTATAACCATGAAATTGACCAAAATGGGACGGGAACTAGGTAGAGCCCTACTCATGAACTTGTTGTGACACAGACCCACAACCACTGAGCTTTAAGGGGCTCTGCTTCAGTGTCCTGTCTGCCCTCTTCTCGCCCTCCCAGGAAATTCAGATTCAGACTTTGGAAGTGCTACTTACGAGAAGGCAAATGCCACCAAGGCCCCACTGACCACAATAAAATCCAGGATGTTCCACAGGTCACGGAAATAGGAGCCAGGATGAAGCAGCAGCCCCAAGTCAATCATCTGAAGGGGAAACAAATTAACATGAGACATGTAAAACCACAGGAAACATCTTCCATGCAGATATGCAGCAGGGATTTGTACAACAAGGTGAACCTATGGCCTTGGTCAAATGATTTTGGTCCCTTCAAAATCCCTCCTTCTAAGTTACATAGTAGCAATGCTTTGTCCCTGACAGAAATGTAGCCCTGTTAGTCTGGTATAACTGAAACAAAAAACAGGACTATGCAGCATTTTAAAGACTAACAAGATGGTTTATTAGGTGATGAGTTTTCATGGGCCAGACCCACTTCCTCAGATCAAATAGTGGAAGAAAATTGTCACAACCAGGAAGTGGGTCTGGCCCACGAAAGCTCATCACCTAATAAACCATCTTGTTAATCTTTAAAGTGCTACATAGTCCTGTTTTTTATCCCTGACAGGCTTTCTGTAGGGGAAAGAGGTTTGCGTGTGTAGTTTGCCAAGAGAAACGAGTATTTCAGGAGCAGATGATGCTGAGCAGTCAGGAGCCGTGCAGGCAGTTGCTCTGTAACCTTACCTATGCCTAGTTTTGCCAGGCACTCCAAGGCTGTCGATCCCAGAGGAGATTGTGCCTCTCCCAACAGCCTGGCGTGGCCTCCCCTGGACTCTGCCTGGTCCGGAGAGTTCCCAGCGTGGCCAGATGGCCTGCTGCCTGGGATTTAGGGAGCCTGGGATTGGCTGGTGACTGCTCTGTGCTCTGGAACTGGGGTTGGGGGCACTGGAGTTAGGAGTGCTGGGGCGGGTGGACCAGCAGTTAGCCTCCCCCAACAGTCAGTTCATCTGCCACCGATGGTAAAACCCCTTCATTTTCCAGTTCCAGGGCCTTTTTCCTGTCAGAACACCCCTCCCCCAATACCATATCGTGTGGTAGTTTGGTACCATAAAGTATAGATGAGAGATAATCCTGAGAAAAGGGAATTTTTGTCCCTTTCCTGTAATTTGGTCTTTTCTTAAATATACATCTGCCTGTATTATTTACTTCCTCATTACTTAACACAAACATACTGCAGTGCGTTGGTCTTCTGTACTCTGTCAACTACACAAAATTAAATCAAATAACGTCCACAGAGGAAACTACTGGAAATTACTTGGGAGCCAAACTACTTGATTGTAATAGGCAAGAGAGGGAGCACAACAAACTAATAAATTCCTTGTGCTCAGAACCCCATCCGTGGCAAGAGCTCCCAAACGAGAGCTCTCTCATAATACACTGACAAGCTGTGATCCCCCTCCCTCTCAGCTCTTACGTGTGGGATAAAATAGGAAATGTTGACTTTTGAATGATCATCACTGAGCCTCAGATATTGCACCTGACTGAGATAAATGGGACTTTTCAGAACGAAGGTTCCAAGTATCTGCAGACTCACGATGACATTTTTGCATCACCCTCCCTTCACATTTTTGAGATTTTCTTCATGACCATAACAGCAAGAGACTTTTTTATAAAATGAAAGGTGAGATTCTGGAGAACAAGACAGTGACTCCAGAACGTAGCGGGTCTGATGTACAGATGTTTCCAAGCCCTGCTCATAACAGGTGGAATGTCTTGTTATCAATATTTTTCTACAAGAATAAGTAGTCTGTCTGCCCCGTTCCAGTCTCTTGCTCTGGACTCCTAAAAATACACCACAGGCAATCAGCTGAAGAAATACCCCGGTGATATTCTTACCTTTATCACCATCTCGAAGGTAAAGACCCCTGTAAATATGTAATCCAGATACTTCAGCGCCTAAGTCAGAAAAAGAAATCTGAATTTAAAGGAGATTAAGCACAGAATCACTGAAATGATCCACACAAGAAGAGTAAGGAAGGATAATTCCAGCAGTGGCATATTTACCAAAATGCCATTGCATAGCACCTGTTTCATGGTGTGCTGCCAGGTTGTTTAGACCCCAAATTTGAATCCCCTCCATGGAGCTGAAACTTTTTTAACAGAAATCACTGTTAGAACGCTCGTGTGCATGTTGTGAGCATTCATCTCTTTGTGCATGTACGTAGCAGCCTTAAAATAGCAAAGTGAATATATTTTAAATTAAAGTATGTGAAAAACTTTTCCTAATTTTCTTTCCTCCCAATGCCTTTGTACAAATGTGCTTCCCTCTGCAATGACGGATGATAGCATCACTAATATCTCTGGAGTGTAAGGAAGAGATATAAATCCCTCTGTCCAGGAAATAAACCAACTTCTAATGAATATTAGGAAGAAACTTTCCCCATGGCTAGTTCATTTCATAGCTGCCTCCTTCAAGGTTTCCTGAGTCCTCTCCTGAAATCTCTGGAATTGGCCAGGTCAGAAACAGGCTATGAGAGTACGTGGTCCCCTTGTCTGATCCAATATAGCAATTCCCATGCTCTGAGGAATGCAACTCCTTGATTTGTTTTAGGCAGAATCCAGAATTTGAAAAGGCAGAATCCTGAATTCAGGCTTCAGTAAGTAAAACACCTGCCAGTTCACACCTATGAGCTTCATAATCTTCTTGGTAAACTGCTTTGGATAGTAAGTGTGACATGGTCAGTCCCCATCTCCAGGTTTGTATGCCCGCTTTTACCCTTGCAATTGACTGCACCCATTTTGTGAACACAGGTTGTGCAACACATCAGGCAGCTGGACCCGGTTGTATCTGTTGCTAATTTAGGGCCAGACTCCTCTGATCCCCACGACAGTACGGCTACTTGTGGAGTAGAGTGTTACTGAAGAGCAAGTGTATTCGAATCTGGGCCCATGCGTTCATATCACTTTCATTCTCAAAAGTATGAGAGCAGAGGTTTGGTAATTATCCCCATTCTAGTAACTAGCTGGCATAGCATCAGAGTATCCTGATCCAAGATGGATCATATGGGGAAGATATGTTCCAAAACAACAGGCACCAGCCACCTAATCTGTGACTGCCTCTGGGGGGGGGGAGGAGGCTTGTGTTTGGATGTAAGGTGCAGACCCATCTGTGGGTGCATTATCGCTTGGATGTGCAAGCTCAGAGTTTGACCCTAAATGTATTTTTCTGTACCTGGTTAAAAACAAACTATCCATCCTGTGCTGGCTCTAGTGATTACTGTTGGGCCCGACCATCCAGGAGAAGCCATTCTGAAATCCAGCTTCAGTCTCTTGCTTTCTGTACTATAGGCGATGAAAATCTAGAAGTGTACTCCCCCATCAGGAGTGGGGGAAATACCTCCCACTGCTCAGCAGGGACCTCTCTGGCTGGGGAAGGTACAGGAAACGGCTTTCTAGGTTTCCAAGGCAGTCCCATACAGCTGGCATCAGCCAACAGCTAAGATACCCCAAAGGTGAATGGAGTTTAAGTTGAGGAAATTGCCAGAGAACCTCAGGACTCCGGTGGGGAAACTGATGGAGTGGATTGTTGGTATAAATGACTAGCCACTACTTTGGAAGGCTCTGTTTTCTCAGTGTTGGATCCATGGAATCCATGAGCTATCATCATGCTATTGTGAGTCTCACTACACTGGGCATCTAGCCGGCATCAAGTCTAGCCAGATTTGGAGGCTGTTACCTTCCCTCTCTTTTGCACTTGGGCTCTCACTCGTGCAGATTTTATTTCCAGAAAGCCCCAGGTTTGCACTCCCAACCCCAGTGTCCCCCACTAGATTGTACAAGTCAGATCATTCATGTCCCAAACGGAACCACTGCTCTCTGAGTCAGAGAAGCAAACCCATCATAGCCTGGTTCCCTTGGCAACTACTCACATCGTTCCGTGGAGACTCGGCTTGGACAGGGTCTTCAGCAGCCAGGGCAATGCTGCTCAGGGCGATGACTATGAGGATGACCATCTCAAAGTAGCGCATGTTCACAATGTAATGGAACAGGCGTCGGATTCTGAAAGAACAAAATCAATACAATAATGCAGTAGAGGTGCTGTGGTGTCGGTGGCTTGGGGGAGCACGTTGCTTACCAAGGATATTTTACATTTGGGAATTTTATCATGGATATAGTGGGGAAATGAGAGTCAAGACGACTGGGCTTTATTCTTCGGGACACCAACTTGCTGTGGGACACCGGGCAAGTCACTTCGTTTCACTAATCCATCTGTGTACAGGTGACAGTGGTGATAAATATCACAGAACCAGCAAGAATTTAAGTAACTGGAGCACAATTCTGTAAACTTTATAAAGGACTAATCTGGATGGGATGTTCATGTGTAGCCACTACCTTGCCATTCAGCAACCGTCCAGGTAGATACTGTGCACTAAAAGTTCTGTGGCATGTTCTGATGTACTCTCATTTCCAACACTAGTACATGAGATTGCACATTTAATGAGCTGTATATCAGTCCTTATGGGACATTACTTCATGACAAGCTATTGTACTTTAAATGCACACCCCAGATTGCTAGGCACTAACATTCCTTGTATGTATAAGACTTGACTTGACTGTGTTCAGTTTAGCAGCAAAACTCCCAAAGATTTGAATGATTCATAACTGCAATGTAATAATTTGTACTCTCTCTCTCTCTCTCCAAGCATCTGTACCCTTCCCTTTACTACAATATTTGATAGCTGGACATAACCATTAATTTATTTATACTCTGGCATTTCTACATTATTCAAAATACTTTCAGCAAATAACTCCTGACTGGCACATAGTTGCAAATGTTTAATTTAAAGAATGCAAAATTACAAATTTGTATCATGTTGGTTAGTTAACAATAAAAATGATGTTTCCATTCCCAGTCTGAATGATGTGTATAACTAACCAACAGTCCTAAATTATGAGAATGTAAATAAATCATAATTCAAAATCTGTCACTGAATAGTGGATTTTAAAATACCCTTTTTGGAAGTATTTATTTTAGTAATTGCTGTTGCTACATTAATGGGTAGTGAATGTAAAAGAGGCACAAAAAAGCTGAAGTGACCTTGTTCTGAAAAATACTAAAATTACAACCTCACACACTTGTTATATATCTTACAAAAAGGGAAAACTCTCCTGGTGTTCTAGGACTGTAAAGAAGTGAAATTATCCACAAAATTTGTAAGTTTAATTTACATATTGAACTTGGCTGCAACAAAGAAATATCAAATAGCTATTTTGGTCATTCATAACAAGTATTGCAATACAGACGTGTTTCTAAACTATGATTGGCATGTTATAAATCATTTTCAGTGTGTATGAGCATTGTTAAAACATTGGTACTTTTAAAACCATCTATCTGAATTGTATATTTCAGAAATGCTCTGTGCTCTGGGCAACACAACTCTTGAGAGCTTAGAAAGACAGTCATCTAGGAAGAGATACAGATTGAACATCTAGTCCAGCACCCTCGGGACCTGACTGGTGCCGAACCAGAGAATTTGCTGAACCACAGGAGGTCAATATTGTCTTGCAGCATCACCAAAACGGACACTGCTCTTAGGGTTAGGGTTAAGAGTAAATTAGAGCTACAGAACAGCACAGAGCACTGAAAGCCAGGACTTTATGAGACTGCGGGAAAGTTGGCAGGGTTTTTTTTGGGAAAAGTAGCCTTTTCCGGAAAAAACTTCCCCTGCGTCCAGACTCAAGCCGCGTTCTTTCGAAATTATTTCGAAAGAACGCGGCTTTTCTTTCGATGGCGGTAAACCTCGTTTCACGAGGAAGAACGCCTTCTTTCGAAAGTTCCTCTTTCGAAAGAAGGCGTTCTTCAATGTAAATAGGGCTTCCTCGAAAGAGAGCATCCAGACTCGCTGGGTGCTCTCTTTCGAAAAAGCGGATTGCTCTTTCGAAAGATCCGCCTGCAGTCTAGACGCGATCTTTCGAAAGAGGCTCTTTCGAAAGATGCTTTCGAAAGAGCCTCTTTCGAAAGAAGCCTGCAGTCTAGACATAGCCCCTGATAAGTGGACCTCCAGCTAACTAAAATCATGCTGCACCACATATGTTGCTGGATCAGAGAGTGTTGGACTAGAGAGATTCCACCTGTACTGTGAAAAATATCCCACTATTCAAAAATAGAAACTGAATCGGAGATATGAACCTACACACAACTTTCAGCTATATTGGACAAAAAAAACCCAAAACAAAACACCACAACCTGTTTTCTTTCTCTTTTTTCTTTTGACGTGATTTTAGTGCAGGGCTACTCAACAGGTGGCCTGTGGCCCATTTGTTTGTGGCCTGTGGTGCAGTTTGGGTTTACGGTATGGTTTCGGTTGATCAGCGTTTTAGTAGTTAAATTCCTGGACTGTCGTTGCTCATTAAAATAGCTGTCCTGGGTGGAAATGGGGTAAATATTGCATTTTATTAATATCAGCAGAACTGAGTGAAATGGGGCCTGCATGTTGTGTAATCTTGCCTTAATTTTTTTATTCATGTCAGTCAGTGTGAAAGAAGCTATTTGCATATATTTACATATATATTTGCACATATCTGCAATCACACTTAAGTTGCAGCCCTCGGCATGTGCTGCGAGTATCATTGTGGCCCCCGGGGCTTCCAAAGTCGAGTAGCTCTGTTTTAGTGTGACACATTTCATTTAAACGTGGCTTTAGCGCGTACATTGAAAGTAGATTTCTAAAAGGGCTCAGTAACCAGATGAAATCATCCAACTGTGAGCTAGATTCTGGCTTTTCAGCAGGGATGTGCTATATAGGATACATTTGTAGGGATCAGTGTACATGCTCCACAATGGGATTGCATCTTGCCCTTTCTTGGGTGGCAGCTTGTGGCCTCTACTCATCTTGCTTACTTTCACATGGGCACCATATGGCCATGTATGTTAAGATCTACTTTGTCCATATATGGTCCCATGAACTATGCATTAAGCCTTTGGTTGGTTTCTTTTCTGAGGGGGTGAGAGGAGGGAGAATTAATAGACCCCCACGGGATATCGGAATACGAGTCTGAAAGCTTTCTGCAAGATGCAGTAAAAGAAGAAAGTGTGGGTGTGTTTTGGGGGTTACATGGAAAAGGCTGAGGACGCCTGTGCTACTTTAACCGATCTGTATGAGGCTAGACTCAGCCCATTCACAGCCCAGGAGTTTGTATTCTTTCTTCTGCTGAAGCTTAGTAACTTTATCAGATGCTTCACAGCCTGAGACTCGCTTCTAGGCAGTCAACCCATAGCAAAGAGGCAGCTGTATATCTGAGGCAGAATAATGTTTAAAATTGAGCCAGCCAAGATCCAAGACTCATAATTCAAACAAGTATTTGTTCCCAGAAAGTTCATCACTCTTTTGTATCACGCTGTGTGTGCACGAGATCAAACTCTTCCCGCACATTAGCTGTGATTATCACATCCATCAAAGGATGGTTTGTTGTATTTAAAGCTACTATTAGAACTAGTACAGTGTAGTCACAGCATTCTGAGACACAGAAATCTCCACAGATTTTTCAATCAGTCCCCCCAAACCTTCAAAAGGCCTTAATGGCAGCTGAAGGGACAAACCACAGTAAAGGCAGATGAAAACCAAAGCAGAGACGCCTATGTTGTTAATGGGAAGTAGACTCAGCCCTCAATTAATTTCTATAGCCTTTGTAGCTATAGTTTGTTTTGAACTATATCCTCCAGATTTATTTCCAGCGTATTCCAACTATACACACCCAACACCAGATAGAACCAGGGTTTAATCCAGAGAGAAATGATCACAAAGAGGGCAAGCAATCCTCGGGGGAAGCAAAAATTCCCAACATCTGCTCCAGCCCCAATGCACTGCTTGAAATGACTCACAGCCCTTTCTGCTAGAATGCTTGCAGCTCATGATGATGTATCTGTCTAGTCCTGTCACACTTCACAATGACACGGTTCTCTACTGGCAGAGTCAAAGTGCAAAGCTACCCATGAGACACAGACACCACAAGCAGAACAAGTGCTAGAGTCTGAACAGACCCTATATGTTCTATTCTGCCTTGGTCTGTGAAAAATGCTCCTAATTTCCCAGAAATTCAGCTTCTATGGTGATGTGGGGCTACAGGTCTGGCACGAGTACCACATCCTCCAGGCGAAGGTTTGTGTGGAACCAGGCTGCACTGGCTGGTCCCCAGAACACGTTTCCCCTGCTTTTTGCTCCTCATCCTCCTCTTCTTCTATTGACATTCCATCCTCCAAAACAGATCCCTGACAAAGGCATGTGCTCTTGGGGAGACTGGAAATTCAGAGGAGCAATCTGCAACAGCGAGCTTATCACCACTGACCAATCACTGAACAAACGTTCCCTATCTTGACCATCAAGCTCATACATCAAGGATTTTTTTTTCCTCTTTCCCAACAGTAAATTATTATCCAGGAAAGCCCAGCTCAAATTGTGCCTCTAATTCACAAGCAGTAAGCTATGTACTTACTTTTTCTAGTGGATTTGATTAAACAGAGATCAAAGTACATTATTCTTCTATGCCTATTCTCTCTCTCTCTCACACTCACACACACACACGACAGAAAAGGCACCACTGGAAGACTTACGGGTTCGTAGGGCTTAAGATAAACATGGAGCTGTAAGGCAGGATTGGCTTAGGCCCATTTTTTGTCAAGTCGTCAACCTCCATATCCTTCTTCTCTTCTGTTTTGCTTTCAAATTCAACGTTGTTCACTACAGTGTGAATGGAAGGAAGCAGGCATCAAACAGATCAAAGAATGTAAACACATTCCATTTACAAATGGGCTTCGACTGCTGGAAATACACACAAGGCAGCTTGGATAAAAAAAAAGCAGCTTTCAAACTGTTAATTAAGTATAATGAATGGACTAGCTGTCAGTGAGCATGTCTACTTATTATCGTATAATACACAATACAAACAAATTATCCCTTTGTTGCTTCACTGATGAGCAATATTTTAGACATGTCTGGGAATGCCCAAATGCAGGTAAATCTCAAGTTGTTTTTTTTAACATCAAGATGGGGATTGAAATTGGATCCCAAGCAACCAGATATCTCCGTAATCCCATAGGTGAGGACAGGGAATCAGCGAGGGCGCTATGAAAAAATAAAGATAATGAGAACGTACAGCATGCTCCTGAATCTTTTGATTCATGGCATATAAATCAGCAATGGAGATGGATCTGGAAGGCTCAAATAAGCAAGCTGGGACACCTGGCCTGCTCTATGATAGGCCTGTTAGTGAAGTCTGATGCCCAGAACACAAACAAGAGACCCTGCTTATGCTGTATGTTCATTTCTTAGCCAAAAAGCTGCTGCATATGCTGGTCATACAGTTCATGAGCGAGCCCATAAAGACATTCTCTTGTGTCGCTTTTGCTGAGGGTTTATGATGTATCCACCAAACCTATACTTTTCATCTCCCCTCCTTCCCAGATATTTCATTTTTCCCCAGCAATCCCTCTAAATCCTTTCCCACAACACAGAAAAGAATTTTCTCAGCCTTTCTCCAATCAGCTAGATGTCAACACCATTAGGGAAAAAAGTATTAGGTGAAACGGTCACTGAAAGAGATGTCAATATCAGACTGTTGTAGAATTGCCAAACATTTCAGAGTGTGAAGAGGAAGAATACAAACAGATACCCGTTTAAGCCTAATTACATTTCCTGTATTCCAGCTCCCACCCCCAGACCAGCTCCAGGGGCTGCTCTAAGTCACCCGCTCAAAACTGCTCTCCAGTCAGGCCCCCAGGATATCCCCTTCTCCCGTGGATGCCTCACCCCAAACCAGGGCCCACAAGCAGGGGGAAGGGTAGGGCCACACAGGTATTTTCTAGGAGATTGTTTCTCAACCCTTTACACCGACACAGCAGGGGAGAGACTTGGGGCCTGAAGATACAAAGCTGACAATGCAAAGGAAAAGCTACGTTTGGAGAAAGAACGGAAGCCACCTTCTAAACGGCTTCAGAAGGGGGCCTTGTAATGAACGTATGCAGGATATAACCTCCAAAAGGGCAAAGAATGAACCACCAATTTCTCATTCACCCGAGTCGTAAGGGATAGACATGGCACACCAGCCCTCGTTAGTTAGAGCACACGTTGAGTGACACGTTTTAATCAAACGCCGCCCGCTGTCCCTTCCCCAGCGCTCATGCTGGATAGATGAAAAGCCTTTGGCTCGCACTGCTGACAGCTGCCCCACGGTCAGTGACGGTTACTTTGGGGTCACAGGCGATTTGGTTTCAATAGTCTTGGCAGGATTTATTGGCTGAAGGGGGCCAGGAGCCACAAGCTCTTTGCTTTTAATTCAAAGCCGCCAGCCCCAGATTGCCCAGCCCAGCACTAACCCTACACTGTAGTGCTCAGATATTTCCAACGTGCTTCACAAACATTCATGAATTAAAGGCTCACAGCCATTCTGAGGCAGGTCTTCTCCCCTGTTTTCCTTTGGGGACACTGAGGCAGAAGGGCTTAAAGGACTTGATTTTCACAAGTGCTGAACACCCGCTGACTTCTGCTGGGTGCTCGTCTCTTCTGAAGAATCAGGCCCCCAGGTGACTTGCCCAAGACCAACAGATTCAAGTCAGTGTCAGGGACTGTCTACCCAGTGTGACAATTCACGCTAAGGGGGTGGGATTTTCACCACTCAGGAGAGAGATCTTGGGAGGAGTTGTGGATAGTTCTCTGAAAACATCCACTCAATGTGCAGCAGCAGCCAAAAACACAAACAGAACGTGAGCTATCATTAAAAAAGGGATAGAGAATAAGATCAAGAATATCATATTGTCTATATATAAATCCATGGTACGCCCACATCTTGAATACTGTGTACAGATGTGGTCACCTCATCTGTGGAAAAAGTTCAGAGAAGGGCAACAAAAATGATTAGGGGGTTTGGAATGGCTGCCATATAAAGAGAGATTAAAAAGACTTCTCAGTTTAGAAAAGAGGACACTAAGGGGGGATATGATGGAGGTCTATAAAATCATGTCTGGTGTGAAGAAAGGAAAAGTTAATAACTTGTTCTCATAACACAAGAAGTAGAAGTCACCAAATGAAATGAAAAGGCAGCAGGTTTAAAACAAACAAAAGGAAGTACTTCTTCACACAACGCACTGGCAACCTGTGGAACTCCTTGCCAGAGGATGCTGTGAAGGCCAGGACTTTTAATAGGGTTCAAAAAAGAACTAGATAAATTCATGGTGGATAGGATGGGTAGGAATGGTGTCCCTAGCCTCTGTCAGAGGCTGGGATTGGGTGACACGTGATGATTCCCTGCTCTGTTCATTCCCTCTGGGGGTGCCTAGCTTCAACCAGTGTTAGAAAACAAGATGCTGGGCTGGATGGACCTTTGGTCCATTCTTATGTTCTTGTGTTCAAAAGAGCTCTGCACCCAATATGCAGAGTTGTTTGTGAATATCTGGGCCCTGGTCCATATATTCCACTGAGAGTGGGAAGTTGTCCAAGGCACTCACTTGGTATGACAGTGGTCTCCCCAGGAGGTGCAGTGATGGTGACAGGGATGTTCACAGTGGTGGTTTTGTCCAGTGGTGGCTGAGTCATCCGAGTCACATTCTTCTGGTTGTCAGCATCTTCTGGCTGTTCAGGCACTTTCTGCAGGTAGGTGCTGGGCAGGGTATGGGCTGGGACGACACTCACGCTACCCCCAGCCTCGATCTCAAACTGAGTCTCCCTGAGACAGAACAGGAGACAGCATAAACCCCTTCAAGACCAAAGCAGGGAAAACACCCATGCCCGGCAGCAGGCCTTCATACACTCTGTCGCCCAGATCATCTAAGCTAAGCTGTGTCAATCTCTACATGGAAGACCTGTGGGGAAAACTCATGCATCGGTGATTCAGTGAGGCCATGTTTACACTGCAAGCTCAGGGTATGAGTTCTCTGCTCATGCTCGAATACTTGGGCCAACATGAGTATAAATAGTAGTATGGCTGTAGTAACGTGGGGAGTGGCTGAGAAGGCACAGCTGAGCCATGTTGAATACAAAGCCACCTGAACTGAGTTGGTATGAGCTTGGTACAGCTCAGTTCTGCCTCTGCTACCACTACACATATTTATACTAGCAACAGCTCAATGAGAGCTGCTGCAAGTACATGTATATGAGCCGGAGATCACACACCTCCCTCCACGTGCAAACGTGGCTTCAGTGACTCTGTTTCCCCCGAGACCGACTGAACCATTATCCAAGCACAACATAGTTGTCGTTATTATGTGTATTATCCTGGCGCCTGCTAGTCAGATGTGCTAGATGCTGCACATATGCTGTCCGGAGGCTTTGGGGGGCTGGCCATGCCATTTGTTTTAATGAGACATCCAACTGAAATACCAGCTATGTGCAGTGAGGATCACTTGGCACTTTTGCCAGAGCAAGCCCATTGGCCTTTCTGTACTGGCCAGATTCTGAATTAGGACGTTACATTTCATCTCCCTGCAGTTTCATTTGAAACTGGTGCTCTTCATTTCCAGTCTGAAGCTGGTGTGGAACGATGCACGTGCATTAACAAGCCGCTGAGTTCCACATTAGAAGTGGCTGCATTCAGCAAGGAGCAAAGTGGATCTGGCCAATCTAGAACCCATGTAAAATGCTCTGGGATCCCTTTGAATAGAAGGCGCACTCTGCCGAGATCATTGTGTCAACTCCACTCTGTTACCAGGACTTCATAGGGGGAACTCTATTCACTCCAATGATTCCCAGCTTAATTGGTTTCCATTTAGATTAGCAGAGTGATAACGGCTAATAATATTTCTTTATTAAATATTCAGAATGATTCCTGGTTATTAAGTTTTCTATTAATTCCAATCAGAATGAAAGGGAACCTAATAGAATGGTTTGCGTACTCTCGTGCAGTGTACTCGCAGATAACAGCAACGCACTGAACGTGGTTGCCCTTCCGTGCGCACCCCCAGACTTGGACATAATGGACTCGCCCTTTCCCCACTGTGGTCTATGTGTGGTTTGTAATTGACTTCAGTGGGCACAAGACTGGGCTGTAGAAGCTACTGTCAAGGAGAGAAAATTGGCCAGGGCCCTTACATTTTCCAGCATTTAACTGCTGACTGAATCACGACCAAAAAAGGTTTAGGGCTTCATGTGTCACTTCTAGCCAGTGGGGCCAAACGCCTTGCTGGAAGGGGAGGGGCCTCGGGTGGAAGAGGGCGGGGCTAGGCAGCCCTCAGTGTTGCCTGGAGTGTGCCGCACGGTGCTCCAGTGGTGATTCATAGGGGCTGGGGGCTCTGACTGCAGCTGCAGTGACCAGGAACACCGGGCTCTTTTGTATTGCCAGGCCCTGGTGCAATTGCCCCCTTTAACCTGCCCATTGGCAGGCTTGTTTCTAACACAGCAGCCCTCCCTCCGTAAGGCACTGCAATAGCACCAGCAAGTAGGAGCCCAACTGCTAGTGTGGGACATGAACCTACAACCTGTTAGCCCATACGTGAAGTGCATCCCACGGAGTCACGTGGCTTGTTTAGTTAGGTAGTGTAAATGGGGCGACATTTCGTCTACGTGCCGAATAAATTTGGTTCTGTGCACCAACACATATGCAGATGGGCACCACCAGTACAAACACATACTGCTGGCTGAGGGTGCTGTGCTAGTCAGCTGGGTGGCATTTGAATCTCTCGTGGGTGGCCGGCTGCCCAAGAGCACAGCTTACAGGGAACACTCCCAGGTGCATTAAAACAGATGTTAGGTATTGTTCAAAAATCTTTTACCTGTCACAGAAATTGAGAATCCAGAGGATGCTGGGCACACAAAATCTGTATTTGCCCCATGCTACAGTCATCATCAAATACACTCAAGGCAAGAGGTGACTTCTAGCTTTAGTCAGTCTATGGCGTTCCCAACCTTTCCCCCATAAGTGTCCCTTTACATGGTTAAGTAGCACAACAAGAGACACATTTTGGCTCAGGATAGTTCCTGGATATCTCCCAAATGTATCAAAAAAAGGAAGAAAGAAAAGCCTGAAGAGTTTGTTAACAGGGAAACTGTAGCTACTGCATCTCTGCAGAAATCAATCTCTGCACATTTCGACTGCGGGAACTCACCAACTGTGGGCTCCGAGTGCTCTAATGGGCCGGAGCAGGTTTCTGTGATTCGCTGCAATAGCTTGAGAGGGGCATGAGTGGCCACCTGATCAATTACATACATTTTTAAAAGCCCCTAAGTGCTCATTAGTGGAATCCCCATTGTAAGGAGCTTGCGAACATGTACTGAGGAATCAGGATGGGACAAAATCGGGATAATAAATGCTATTGTGCTTACCCTGAGACATATTCAGCTTCCAATTCATCTACAAACTGCAACACACTCAAAATTGCCAAGGATCTGACAATGGTGTTTATAACTCAGGACATGAAAGCAATCTGGATACAGCAGATGCGCAAAGCCAAATTTTGATCCTCCCTACACTGGTATAAATCAGGAGTTTTCACAGGAAGGACTGCAGGGGGATTACTCTGGATTTGTAGCCATGTAAGTGAGACCCAGGGGCCAGATTCTGCTGTTCTCATCTGTGCAACGGGAGGGGAGACACAAAGAACCTTCCAAAGGGCTTTCACAAAGGCCAGACGCAATGTCAGTCCCTCTCTGCTCCCCTGGGGACACACTGTGCCCCTAAGAAAGTTGAGAATGGACACATCACTCCATTTATTATCCACAGTCCCTGTTGCATACTGGGGAACTCCAGGAGACACCGCCACAGGCAGAACATAGTCCTGAATATGGCACATTGACTGTGTACCCCCTCCTGTGTGCTGCCTGACTGCCCGGAAGCCCTGCAGCATTCCATGGGTAAGCGGAACAACGTTTCACCCTGCAAGGAACATGTTCCATGTTCGTATTTATTAAAACTAGATTTCCCCCCACTGCTTCCTAGCACTATTTAAGGGCAATAATTCACAATCCCATAATGCCAAGAGGTCAAAGTGCTCTCCAAGCACTGACTAGCTCAACCTCAGAACTCCCCTGGTGGCAGGTCTGTGTTACTCGACTCACCTCACTGGAGAAAAGAAAAGATCCCTCCTCTTCTGGCACACAAGAGTTGTGTCTTGCCAGAGCTGCAATGCTTTGGTCACATTCTGGTTGTTGGAATTAAGTGTGTGGGCTCTGGATGGCTGTGGCATGTAGGAGTTCAGACTAGATCAGAGGTTCTCAAATGTGAGGCGTATGATCATGTCCTAAGCCTCTGGGAAGTGCAGTTCCCAGATGCAGAGCGTCCAGGGTGGCAGGCTAGGGAGTTGCCTTTTTCACATACATTCCAGCCTAAGCAGAAGATGTGTGGGTCTCACAGAGCAAAATGCTGTGGCCAGGGTTAGGCAAGAGGTCTAGAGCAGCGGTTTCCAACCAGGAGTCCAGGGCCCCTGGGAGCCACAAACTGGTCTGAGCAGATCTGCCAAGCAGAACCAACATCAGACATGCGGGGACCCAGAGCAGAAAGCTCAGGGCCCACCACATGGTGCTGCAGCCTGGGACCTGGTGCTGAAGTTGAACTCAACTTAGGTTTGTGGTGTGTTGCACCAGGCAATTGCGCCTGCTTGCCCCCCGCTGGCCTTGGCTTTGCTATGCAGAAAAACCATTGTAGTGGCATAAGTGGGCCATGGAGTTTTGACAGCCTATTAAGGGTGGGGTTAAGGGCTCAGGGGGAAAAACGGTTGAGAATCTCTGGTCTACATGACTAGACTCTTCTGGCCTTAAAACCTATCATCCTCTTGGCCCCCTGCTAGTCCCAGGCTGTCCTGGGAGTGTGTGTGACCCAACATGACTTTGGCAGCCCTAGGGATTACCGATTTCTTCCTGATGGGCGGGTGTAGAGCTCCCTAATTTCAGGTGTCTTTGTGATGGTCCGGGCTGCTGGGGCAGCAGCACACCCATGCCAAGGATTTGGGTGGACCTGGATGCTAAGTGGGCGTGCTCTGACACCCTTTCAAGGCAGCACTGACCATATTTTAAAAGTTGCCCTAGAGGGAGGCTGAATCCTCTTGCCCCATCAGGGTGACCCCAGCCCGCCACACTCACGAGGCGACAACTGCAGTGAATCCCCCCCAGCTGACGTACCGACAAGCTTGGTTTGTGTAGTGCCGACTTACTTGGGCTGATGGTTCCTAAGGTCTTTCTCCCCCGTCTCTCCTTCTTTCTCCCCATTCTCCTTTTCCACCGAATCATAGGTTGACAGAGCTTTCTGCCGCATCTTGTGCCGTCTGTGGGGCTCTTCCCCATTCTCTCCTTTCATGCCGGGATCACTTTCCCGGTTCCCTGACCTTGACCCTCCTCGGTGACGCGAACGCCGCTCACTCCGGGCCCCATTGATTGTCCCGTTGCCTTCCTTGGCTTGCCGCTCCGCCGCATGCCGGTGAGGCCGGTGCCGCCGGTACTCCTTCTCGGCCCCTTCCTCCACTGAGCCCCGGCGATGGTGCCTCTTACCCCCTTCCTGGCTTCTGTTGCGCTCACTTTTTCCTTCCTTACTGCCTCCCTCTGCCTCTTTGCTGCGACTCCTGTGCTGCCGGTGCCGTTCCTCCTTACTGTTTGTGCCGGACTCCCCGTTCTCATCCTTCGCCATGTCGCTCTTCTCCTGTTCTCCCACCTTGTCTCTATCCCGATGCCGGTGGTGCTTTCGGGGCACCTCTGCACTGTCGGCAGCGGTCACCTTGGCCTGCTCAGTCTCCTGAATGTCCCCCGGGCTTAGCTTACTCACATTGTTCCTGCCGTCAGTCCTTGGCTCCACCACCAGCGGCCGATCCAAGTGGGTCTTCATGTCTGGCCGGATGTGGAGGGTGGTAGCGTAGAGCACACGCTCCTCGGGATTGAGCTCATTGTACAGCGCCTCGCAGCTGGCCCGGAAATTGTGCATCCTGATCTGGCTAGTCCTCTGCTCCCAGACGGACTTGGATTTGGAGGAGTTCTGCTGTTTGCTGCAGAACAGAGGAGAACACACCAATAAGGAGACAGTTAGCATCAGGTCTGGATCCTTTTCCCTCAAAGAAAAGTTAAAAAGAAAAATGTAACTGTCTAGTGGAGGCAGGGAAGTGTAGGGTTGAGGCAAGGAAAACAGAGGGATGAAAAGAGCATGACGGGCGGAAAACACACGAGCAGATAAAGCCAGCGGGGTCACCAGGGTGCCAGCGCCATCCCCACACACAGCTGACACTCTCAGAAAGGGCTTGTGGGATGGGTTTACTTTGGTTCCTAAAACAGGGCCCTCCCACATTCTAGGGGCGGGTACAATGGACACGTTGGCCGTCCCTAGCCAGCCACCTATCCCTGATCACCAGGCCCAGGGGAACAACCGAGCCTGACCATGCAACGTGGCGCTCAGCAGATTGTGGGTGCTGGGGAAGAGATAGAAAACCACAGTAAAGGAGTCCTCACCCAGAAAGCCCTGCTTCCCATTTCAATGAAGAACGTATTCCTCTGGATCCCCCAGACAATCTGACCTGTGCCATTGTGGGGGAGAGCTGGCCTCTGATCTATCCAAACCCACGGCACATGCCCAAAGCGGCAAAGATCTCAGCTGCCATGGGAACTAGTCTGGCCAAGGTACATGTGAGACACACACTTAACTAGTCTCTACCCCTGTCAAAAGAAGATCCGGAATGGGAGGTGGCCTTCTATATAACCTCCTCATAGTGGTAACCACAGCCTAGCCACGGAGGTCAGGCCAATAACTTAACCAAGGAGGCAGCCGATGATGTACTGCTGTTGGCCGCTTTTATTCAAAACCACTCTAAACATTTGGGGTCCAGCTCTACTCTCATTTGCACCAGTGTAAAACGCGAGTCAGCGCAGAGAGAGGGAGTGACTCTATTTTTACATGGACTTCCATGAGAACAGAACTGGCCCAGGCTCCCTTCACAAAAATCCCCGTGCCAAGAAAGGAAACGCCCTCTTCCTCTCAGACCCTCATCTGCAGCGTCTGCTGTTGTCTCAGCGGGACTGCGGGATGGGGAGAGGATGTAGAGAGGGGGAAGCAGAACTGCGTTCTTTACATTCATTCAGGTCAGACAGGCACTGTCTGTCTGTCACTATTCTCCGGCCCTTCGGGGAACAGCTTTCAGATGGAGTTATGTCATGCCATGGGAGACTGGCGGAAAAGGTTTGCATCTCAGACATCTGCCACATTTCACTGAAAGTGGCACCAGCCAGTTTCGCTAAGAGGCAAAAACGTGTGAAATATTCACTCGGATGGTCTGAGACGGTCAGGCAAATGAATCCGATTTGATCCCAAAGCAGAACGAACTCAGCTGATTGCTCAGTTCAAATATGAAGGAGTCTCTTTTCTTGGAAGGAGGTTTCTTTAGGGCAGGGGTGGGGAACCTCAGGCCCAGGAGCCGGATGCGGCCCTCGACTTGCCTGGATTCGGCCCCCGAGGCTCAGGGCTTCTCCCCAACATTGGGGAGCCAATGCTGGTGTTCCAGCCCCCCCCCCACCCCCCACCATAGGGCGGGAGCACACAAAATCTACTAGCCTGAACCCCCCTAGACTCTGGTGTGGGAGGGGAAGGTGGGGAGTGTTCTTCTCAGCCGGGGGTTGGTTGGTTTGGGGTTTTTTGCTTCTCACGTTGACTCATTTTTCTGTGGGTCAGCAGCCCCCGACCTAAAAGAGGTTCCCCACCCCTGCTATAGGGGGAGCACATTTCAAGCCAATGGCCTAGCAGCTTAGCAGTTTCATGTACTGCACGCTCTCAAAAGGAACTAGAAAGTGTACGCATGGAAAACCCTCCTGCAATTCCCTGTTGCCTACCCCGAGGGACTGCCCAGAGATACCCAACGGGCAGAACCCTGCCTCCTTGCATGCGCTGACTGACATGGGAATTTGAGAAGCAAGCGTGGGATACTCAGGATGGCTCACACGCCTGTACTGCGCTTTCCATTCACAGCTGTAGAACTGCAGCCTCTACGTAAATAAGTGCATCCTCGGGCAGGTCTCACCTGAGGGGCTGGCAATTTTAAAATCAAGTCAAGTCACCTTACGGCCCTGCCAGTCAAAGCTTCCCACGAAAGGGACAGCACTAGCACCTCTCTTGCTAGGGCTCCACCAGCTTGGGGGCTGCAGCCAACGGGCAGCGGGGACTGCCGGGTCTAGAGAGCCGAGAGGTGTGCCGGAGCCCACCAACAGGGCTGTGCTAGGGAACGGGTCTGTCCTCAGCAAGAAAGCTCGAGCATGAATCTGTGCATGTTCCTATGCCCTGGGTTTCAATTGACTATGTGCACTCAGCATGATGCTGTTGAGCTAATACCATTCATTCGATTTTAAAGCCCAGGGGGAAAGGACCATTTTTTCTTTGGCATCTCGTACAGCACGGAGCACGGTGTCAGCACTAAAATGACAATAGTAATAGCGTGTTACATCAGTGCTGGGTGGCAGCCCCGATGCTGATCAGTGTGCTCTGTCCAGCCACAGAACAGCAGTAGCTTGGGCAGCAGCATTGTTCCTCCCTCCTCCCCCCCCACAGTCCTGACTTGGAGGGACCCTCTCCAGAGCGGGCTCTGTCTCTGTGACCCATGGAGCCCTTGGCCACTAACGCGGGCAACCAGTGCAACTGTGGTTGGGATTTTGTGATGCAACCTGTCCCGTGGCACTTGGATTGAGGCCACCAAACATATTCCACCCAAAGTCCTAAAGCACTCGTAGCATAGAGAGGTTGCCCTGTAAAAACCTAGACAGACTGATCATCATAATCAACCAGAGACTTACGACGCCTCCCAACCTCAGTTGGATTTGAATGGATGAATAGCTGTGCTGTTGAGGGGCCTGGCTTCCTACCTGTGTGGCTTAGGAAACTTTGAGACCATGCACATGGCCCTCAGATTTCAGAAGCTTTCTTGATGGCTCCTACAAAGTGAGTGCCCTTTTAGGCTGGTGTTTGCAATAGGTTTTGAGCTCTTCTCCTTGGGTAAGTTTCAGGCCAATGACCTACTAGCACAGGAAGCATTTGCTCTGGAAATGGCAGAGGGATTTGGTTTTTAGTTGTTTTTCGCACGGATTAAGAACACAAAACAGTCATTTAAAATATAATTATCTGGGAGCTGCAAGGTGTTCCATTGTGTTTGGACCATGGACAACTGAGAGCTAAAGCTGCTGCTAAGAACGCACACCATTGGGAACCTGTAGGAGCATAGTAATTTGCATATTAATGAAGTCTATTTTGCAAAATTTGCTTCCTTAGCCAGGACAGCAAAATTATAGACTCACCAAACTTTTCAGCATCTATAAATACTGAGGTCACATCATTTACACTGACACAGTTAGCAAAGGGTGACACCCACACCAAAATGCATTGCCAGCCACTAGCGTTTGTCACTAACAAGCCAAAGAGCAGGAGAATCAGTTAGCAGTGAGGTTTGGAAGTGATGATATTTATTTTATGGAATGAAATGGAAAAAACAAACAGAAAATAAGCAAAGGCACTACCTGCAAAGTTTTAAGCATATCCTCAGCTAATCATTACACCCAAACTAGTAAAAAAGGCCAGGAAAAGTGACACTACATGTTAGGGTCTTGACTGGGAAATGGGAATGAGGAGACAAAATAGTCTTGTCCCTCCAAAGACTGTATATAGGGCTTTTCAGAGTGAACGTGCAAGCAGCTGGGGGAATTATGTACTCTGCCTGTCCAATTAAATGTATCTGATTCTTGCTTTCCACATGTTCTCACAGTAACTGAAATAGAGACAGTCTGAGTGCTGCTTCTCTGCTGTTGCTGCTGCTGCATTTCTTCTGAGAGGAAGGCTTTTGACCAGATTTATTTATGGCACATTAGCGAAGTCACCTTAAGACAAAACACAGTATCATTAAAGGACCATATAGAGATCCCGTTCATGTGCGTTGCACACACAAAAAAAGGCAGAAGTGATGGGAAAAAATCTAGCTGATATACAATTATTCCCTACAACACATTCTCTGGAGCTTTGTCTAGTTCCGTTTTAAATGACTCAAGAAACGGTGCTATTACAAAATCTCCTTAAGATACTAAATGCAGCATTAGCAGCAGATATTTCGATGTCAAGTATGAACTAGGCAAAATGGTCCTTTACAACCATGAACGCTGTGATCACATCTGTTCTTGACTTGGTGCTTTTAATCAATAGCGCTCCATATCATTCCTTTTGCAAACTGCATAAGAAGAAGAAAAAAAGCACTCAGAAATCTACCTGCCTTCCTCAAGCCTCAATGTCCACTTCTCTTTATTCTGAGCACTTCACATACAGGTTGAGTTCCCCAGCACCTGACATGATAAAACAGTTTGGCAGCTACGATTAGGGATTTTATTGCATAATGCCACCAGTGCTACTTGTATTCAGAGACTGACCACTGGATAATAAAGCAGTGGCTGTAATCAGATACGTTACATCTCTCTGTACAAAACAGACATTGTGTCAAATAAAACTGATGTTAATATATCAGTTTCCTAACTAGTGAATCCTCTAGTTCCTCATTAAAAATAATACAAAAGAAGTATCAACCAATCACACTCTAGATTGTTCAGGAAATTATAAAGTATTCCTTTCTGGTATTTTTAAAAATCACAGTTAAGAACAAGCAATTTTCTTACCGGCTGAAGCATTTTTATCACATCTATTTAGAATGACACTTTTATGTAATGGACCATTACCTTCCAGAATAACTGTTTTAAATTAACCGCCTGAATAAAAACAATATATAATACATATTCTATCACTGATGTCTTTAAGAATTTTACCTGAGTATAGACTGAATAAAGCTGTATAATAATTCTGGAATTTGGCCCTACATGTTGTAGATTTTTGTATGCTAGAAAAGTATTTTCTGATAAGAGCTGTGGAGAATTTTTGTTGAAATATTTTTTATAGAAAATGCAATTCCTGCAAAATCAAAATTGGATTTTGCCTAAATGTTTTTTATTTCTATAGGGAACAAATATTTCAGTTTGGTTT